AAACTTGTCCAAGATATTATGTGCAGTAACAAGATTTGGTCTTAAATGGATAGATATAGTGTCACTTTCCAAGACAATAACTTGGGATTAATGTTTGGTTAAATTATAAAGGTTGCTTTCGAGATGAAAAGCTTTTTTAAGCCTAAGAAAAGACCTGAAATCGCCTAGACTTGGTAAGCATGTCATCATGCATTAACTTCCTAATCTCTGCGTTGATAAATGGCAGACTCAGAAATATTTGTAGGGGTAGGCTAAATTTTTTTTTTTGGGTAAGCCCTTGTTTGTTACAATTTTTTATTTTTACAAGCACTCTTTTTTCAGTATATTTTTTTCATCATATTTATAACTTTTTGTTAGTATACGACATTTGAAACAGAAAAAATGTTGAAATTATTGATAATATTGTTGAAATATTTAGAAATTTAAGGGAAACAAAGAAAGAAAAAAAGAACAAATATTTAGAAGGAATTGAAGTAAAAATAAAATAAAAACATCACCTTTTATTGGGTAGTGCACCTGACAAAATAAAAACACATCCCATCGAAACACATATCTCCCCCTCTTTTTTATTCTATTTCCTCTTTCTCTCTTTCTTTCCATTTGTTTAATCTCTCCATCTCTTTTTTTTATTCTATTTTCCTCTTCTCTCTCTCTATTCTTTTTCCTTCTTCCTCTCTTCTTCTTTTCTTTCTTCTCTCTTCGTCTGCTACATCTCTCTGTTCTTTCTTCTTGCAGCCAGCTGATTTCTTGTCCATGGCGGGCTGATTTCTTTGATTGGTCTATATTGAGCCTACACAATAAGCCTAATCTCAAAAGTCAGCATTGTGCTAGAGCATATGCTAGCATATACGTGGATTCGCCCTTGGCTGTGATTGAGCCTTACAATCCGCAATATAAATTATGGATTCTTCAATTTTATTTGCTGCAAGTTTCACATAACATTACTCAAAAATTTCAATGGCCAACAAAGTCACATTTCTATGTCTCTACATTCTATCATCAATTTTGTTTCTATAAAGAATCACAATGGCAAGAAATTACCCCTCTACCAACCCAACCTCACACAATCACACACAACTCAAAAACTCATTCTCATATCCAATAGAAATGTATATAGGCATATGTCACAAATACCACGATAGGATGGGTAAATAGGCAATATATCTGTTGCTAAAGGTCATTTCTGGCATAGTGCAAGTACATCAATTATTGCAATGCTAAATCTTACATAAATCCATACTGGTGGCAGTTGGTAGTTGGGTGGCACTCGTAAGTCCTTTTGGCTCAAAGTTATGGGTCAGCCCTTGTATTGGTGGTGAAAGTAGCCAATCTCCCTCAACTTTCTTTTCAACTTTTGTTAAAAAAAAAAAAAATTAAAAAAAAATGAAACAATAGAAAATATGAATTTAGATTACAATAATTCTCAACAAAATTGTAATAATCAAATACAATAACAAATTTACATGAAATTAATGTAAATAAGCAAACACAAATAGATAGAAATATTGACAACTTTAGCAATTGAGGCTTGCAAGAATTACAATGTCCTAAAGACAAATTTCACCCCATCTTTCAATCTCTTTTCATGAACATAACCCATCCTGTCAAGGTTTAAGTTTCAGGAAAAAAAAAGCTCAATAATTGAGGTCATATTTGGTATCCTACTAAAAAAATTGGACTCAAAAAACATAATTCTTTTTTAAAATGTGAGTTTTCAAATACTAATTTTAAGATCTAAAAAACTTCTTTGGTATTGAACTCCAAACTATTTTTAAGATTTTAAAAAATTGAAATTAAAATCAGAAAATAAGAGATCCAAGATTCCCAAATTGAAATTAACTAAAGAAAAGGATAAATCGGAGCCCAATCCAAGTGAAAAGGAACGTTAAAGGAGGCAGAGAAATTACCAGAAGTAAAGGGCGAGAATAAGTGAAAGAAATTGGGAAGGCAATGCATGCGATCTCAACACAAGGCAAAGCAAGACAAACCCAAGGTAGATGAAACAGTAGAGGTAATAAGATGATGGATATGGACCATTTTGGAAGTGTATAATTCAGAACGTAAAAGCTTCACACAAATAGGATTAATTGTTATACGTCTTGTCTCTAACATAACATCCACCATGTGTAGATATTCACCATTCGTAAGCCTCCTTTTTCATAAACCAAATGGGACCTTAGGAAGAGTAAGCCCGAAAGAAATCTTAAAACACCCACCTAACTAAACGTAAAAACCCAACCTAAATCACAAATTACAGATGAAGAGACCCACCTAACTAAACATAAAAACCCAACCTAAATCACAAATTACAGATGAAGACGAAATAAAAGAAAAGCTAGCTTCACTCATTTCTTAATTTAATGTAACATATATTCCATTCCATGTCGCATTAATTTCAGATCTATTAATTTGCTCTTAACATGCTAAATCGCATCAATCAAATAGGAACTCTGGCAATAGATATTTTTATTATTATAAAAACTGTAATATCATTGATATTTTTTGAATCATTATATATATGTTTGCTATCTAATCACCCTGTAGGTGTCTCCATTGGAGAATATGGGCAAGATTTGAGTGCACATTTTGGAAAAAGCAAAAGGAGAGAGAAAAATTTTAAAAGAAGCAAAAATGGACAAAAATGCCCTTATTTATTTTTAGATTTCCTAAGAAATCCAATACATTTGCATGTCTTTGATTTGAAAGTTGAGCGGTTTTTTTTGTCTTTTTTGAAAAAGTTTTGGCTTTTTCCAAAAGTGAAATTTTTTTTATGTCTAAAACCTAAAAAACCTTTTTAATTCAACCCATTTCAATTAAAAAAATGATAATATCTAAAGAGTGTTGCTAAACGAACCTTAAAATTAACTAAGTACACCATAATATTGAAATCAAAATGTAAAATTTCCTAAGTACATCTTATTTAACTACCAAAAATACCCTTAGTACACCCCGAATACACCATTATAAAAACTTAAAACAGCTTTGTTTGTATATATATACTCAAATCTTCTTTTTGTATGCATTGGTGCAGAATGACGGAGTCCTGAAGATGAGGAAACTCATCCGTAGAGTAGTATTGTTATTCCTGCGGTGCATTATTAATGGTGCAAACTCATTGTTATTCCTACTAGACAGACAGGGTCACGATAAGTAGCTATCTACCTACAATTATTGGATATATGTACAGTACTACAGACGTGGTCCATATTATAATCCATTAGATGTCATACAAGTTTGAGTGTGGCCATTGCACCTTCATGCTGGGCGGACCCATTCAGGGACAAGAGGGCAAAACTAGTTTTCAAAGAAAATCTTCTTCCATCTAGGGGGGTTACCCGGTCACATGACCCCATGAGATGGCCGAAAATGTGGCTGTGGACAGCCTGTGGAGGTCAGAGACGACCCCATGTGACGACCTCAAATGCACACAAAATGCTTGAGGAAAGGCCAGAAAGGCCTGCGCGCAGAAAAAGAAACAACTTTGTAGAAGAGAAGTGGAAGCACGCAGCGGAGAAAGCAGCCTTTGCTGCAACAAAAAACTTAAAAAATAAACAGTGGTAGGCCAGATACTGACGCAGCACTAAGCACAAAGTGATGGGCTTGTAGTTGTAGCAACGAAAAACAAAAATAAAATAAAATAAAGAAAAGTAGGCCAATGTCCAAGTATTTTTTTTTGGGTCAAACGGGCTGGTCTAAGTCTCTAACTCAAAAATATGTTCATTTCTTTTTTGGTAATTGAAAATATGTTCATTTCATTAAGCAAGCAAGCACACAAATCCAGGTCTTATTGTTCCTTGATCCTTTAATTAAATTATTGCTCTAAAAAGTTGATTTATTATTATTGTTTCTAGCTTTATTATGTGTTGATGTGATTATTGAGATTTTTATTTGGAAATTAAAAGTGATTCGTAGGAAACAATTATTTGTAAAAGACATAGAAAGAAAAGGAAGAAAAGATAGCTCAAAATTTTAAATTTTAAGTGATAATCTATAAATAAATAATCTCCATAAAAAAAAAAAAAAAAAAAAAAAAAAAAAAAAAAAAAAAAAAAAAAACTTCTTCTTCGCTTATTAGACAGAGGGTTTCTAGGGTAGGTTGGGGTTCATGGTAGAGTATTAGTGTGTGTGTGTGTGTTTTTTTTGTTTTTTTTTTTTTTTTTTTATTATTATTTTTTAAAAAAAAAGGGATAAAAAATGACTCATTTGTTCTACAAAATGCCTTAGCAGTTTAGCCTAAAAAATTTCGACACTTTTACACTGTGACCCTATGACCTGAGAATCCTGGATCCGCATTGTCATGTTATAATATAGATCCGCTATGAGTTTTTTTACAGCATAATATTAATAAATATAATCAATTTGGTTTTTTCCCTTTCAAACTAATTTTTTCTTACATGCATCTCATCATTTTATTTTTCTATAAATAAAACCCAATTTTTATAAGTAAAATCTGATGACTATAGGATCTAAATCAACAAGTTACATAATCAAATTTAAAATATGATTTATTGTACATTTCAGATTCCAAAAGTACCCTTAATTACAGTTTAACATGTTATGTGTGGTGTATTAAGTGTTGGTTTTTCTCATTTTACTGTGATGATTTCTTTCCTCCTAAAATTCCCCTCACTATATTTAAACGTATTTAGTGGAATTTATTGCAAATTTGACCACTTACGTATTAATTGTTCTTGCTCCCTGTGTTTTTGTTTGAAGATTATTTACGCTTATTTTTCAAATAGACTTACTTCGAATATTTTATGTTTGAGGGACCTAACGTATATTTACCTAATGTATATTTGATGACTTAACATTGTAAATATAAATAATTTACCTAATGTATTGTTGTATTTATTTTTCATATAGACTTAATCTACCTAATTCTGTAAATATAATTTACCTAAGGTATTCTTGTATCTATTTTTCATACAGAAGCTCAGAATAATTGTGTGCTAGCAGGTTGATAAAAAGGGAGAAGATAGACATATGGTCGATTTTCAATGGATTCGCAAAAATCTCTAGTTAAGAATCTTCTAATGAAGGTTAAACAAGATCTCTTAGCGTCATCAGAATTTGATGTTTATTCTTTTGTGCCTCCTTCTCCTTATGACACTGCTTGGCTCTCAATGGTTCCCAACCCTCAACAATCAGATCAACCATTGTTTCAGGGGTGCTTGGATTGGGTGCTCCAACACCAAAACAGAGGAGGTTTCTGCGGTGACAATATTGCTCATCCCACCATAGAGTGCCTCACTTCAACTCTTGCTTGCATTGTTGCACTTACTACATGGAATGTCGGCCACGATGCCATTCAGAAAGGTACACGCGCGCGCGCACATACACACACATATATATATGTGTGTATATATAGTTTTTCTCTAATCTGGACGTTGGGATTCTATTAAAATCCGGTTCTCTAATCATTATTGGACTGTTTCAATTACCAAACATTACACTCTTTCAGTAGCTTTAATCAAGAGGACCAGACTTTAAAAAGAAAGTAACCAATTTTGCGCATAACTAATTGCTGCAAACTTTGCTTTGTTGTGTTTGTTGACTCGACTGTGTATATATATATGTTTAGGGTTGGCATTCATCCATGGAAACACAGAGAAGCTCTTGGAAGAGCAGAATGGTTCTTTTCCTGATTGGTTTGCAATAGTTTTCCCAGCAATGATTGAACTTGCAGAAACCAAAGGCTTACATGTTTACTTTTCTAATGGGCTGGTAGAACAAGTCTTCCTAAAGAGACAAGAAATATTACAAACGCGCAGGTAGTTTTATATTTTAATTTCACTTTATTTTTTATAGGTAGTACACTTATAATAGACTTAATTTGGTGCAGCTGGGTGTCTGGTTGTGGTCAGCAACAGAATTATCCAGCACTCATGTTAAAATATCTTGAAGACGGGTTAATCCAATCCCCATCAGCCACTGCACATGCTTTCATGAAGACAGGAAACAAGGAGTTTTTGGTCAAATTGAATTCTATTGTCCAAACATGTGGTTATGGAGGTACGTAGTTTTCTTTTTATATTTTGTATTATATGATGTCATTACTTAGTGAGTTCATATATCAAATGACAAATTAACCAAATGAGCTAACAACAATAGGCTTGGCTTGTATATCAAGTGGTTGAAATAGTTTTCATGTACATGAGGTCATGTGTTCAAGTTCTGCTCCCCGGTATCGCTTTTATTAAAATTAAAATAACTGCATGGGCTAACATAGTATGACAATTTTGGTATGTTTACAGTTCCTGCGGTCTACCCCTTGGATGAAGACCTTGTAAAGATTCTTCTAATTAACCAGATTGAGACGCTGGGGTTGGCAGAGCATTTCATGGAGGAGATTACAAGTTTTATGGCCCAAGTTTACAGGTTACTGCCAGCCCTAATATTCAACATTAATTAATCATATTTATATATAGATATTTAACAAGTGCATATAATTAATCTGGTTGATTAATTATTTTTGTCTAAAAGTAGAAGTTACATCAGCTGCGAAGAACCGAAGCGTATGGCAAAGATTGCGATGCCAATACAACTGTATAAACATTCCCTCGCATTTCGACTTCTAAGACTTCATGGTTATAGAGTTTCTCCACGTAAGGATCAATGATAAGTACATATATGTTTATTAATTGAATTGCATATTAAACTATTGAAGAATCTAAAGTCCCACCACACATTGGAAATTTGACAAAATAAATATAATATATAATGAGTGGTTTCACAACTAATATCACCAAGACCTTTTTGTGACAAAACCTCATACTTACTGGGCTTTGTAGGTGGTTAACTTAGGGACAATATCGGTGTTGCTAATAATGGGCTGATGGCCCGTCTCTCTGAAATTTAACATAGTATCAGAGAGGGAGAGGCTACAATGAGGAGTTTAAAGTGAGGAGGCTATTTGAGGAGGCCAATCCCACCATCAAAACATTTAAAATGTTTAAGTCCCATGATTTCTTTACATTTCTTGATGGTGAGATTAACCTCCTCAAATAGCCTTTAAACTCCTCATTATAGCCTCCCCGGTATCAGAGCAGGTTGATTGACTACACCTGAATTACTGGTTGTTTACCCTTACCCTATACCAAACACGTGGTGCTCACGTTTTGGGCTTGAATGTTTACTCTTACCTAATACATGATATTCATGTGTTGGGTTTGAATGATTGACTCCAATGTGGACTTCACTGCACGTGTGATCCACTCTGTGGTGGTCCTATTTGAGAGGGCATGTTGGAGAATATAAAGTCCCACATCGAAAACTTGATCAAATAAAATATAACATATAATGAATTATTCCACTACTAATATCACTGAGGCATTTTATTTTAAAATTTCACATGTAGTCGGCTTTGTAAGTAGTTAAGTTGGGAATAATATCGATGTTGCTAGTAGTGGACCGATGGTGTAACACCCCGACCCCAAATTTATCCCATGTTTTAATTTATTTAAGTGGAATTGAGAATTTACCCGTGGGATATGGGTATTTTAGTCATTTTCTTACCCGGAAGGAATTTGGGAATTCCGGATGTACCATTGCGTAGAGCACGGCGAGATGAGTTCGTAGACACGTAGTGGGCTCGAATCGGAGTTGTAACGGGAGAGATATGATCAAATGAAGCTCAGTGGCATAATCGTAAATATTTTGAAGTGGGATTTTGGTTAAAAGACGGAATTGCCCCCGTCTCTCACACACTCTCTCTCTCCCGCGCGTCCCTCTCTCTCTCCTCTGGTTCGCGACGCCACCGCAGCCGGCCACGTTTTGGCCGGCCGTTCATTCATCCGGCCACCACTCGGGTCGGGACCGGTCCCAAAATGACCGGCCTGACTCCGCCGTCCTACCCCACCCATTCTCCGATGTCAGCCGGCAGTGATATCGCCGGAAATTGCAGAAAAACGGCCGGTTTTTACCCAGATTTTCCGGAGCTCGTTCCGGCGATTCCGGCCACCAAATCTTGCGATCAAGGTATGCTTTCTTACTTATTTTCCGTGATCTAGCTGATGGTTGGGTAGGAATTGATCGATTTGTAGCGTAGACAACTCGATTTACGAATTGGATTTCGGCCGGATTTCGAGGGGAGATTCCGGCCACTTCCGGTCAGTTTTTGGGGTACGTCCAAGAACAAAAGTGACTCCAAATTAGGTGTTTTACCCAGGGTAGGAGTCTTGAGCCGTGATTTGTGGTTTTTCCGGCGATGGGTTATCGCTTTGGACACCCACGCACTGCCGGCGCGTGGGCGGCGCGTGGGCACTGTAGCTGAGGGGCATTTTTGTCCCAATGTGATCCTCAGGTTGTCATGAGCGCGTAGGTGTGCTCGGATCTCAATTTGGATATTGTTAGAGTCCCGAACGGATATCGCATATCGCGTGTTTTCCGGGTTCGCTGGGTTTGGACCGTTGGATGGTCCTGATATTATAATATGTTGATCTAGGTATTACCAGGATCGTGTAGGATTCGACGGATCGTAAAACGGAGTCCCGGATACTCCGGAAATGCCAACCCTGGGGTTAGGGTTTAAGTAACCGTCCGATTGTGCGATCGTGAGCAATCCGACCGTCCGATCTGGACCAAACTTGCAGGACATGTGTCCTAGAGCTTGTAGAACCTCTAGGAACTATCGGATCGAAATTTGGAGGTTGTGGGCCCCGCAGGCCCGTTTGACCCTAGGTTGACCGTGAGACTTCCGAGATAGTCTTACCTTTATTTGAGGGTTAGAATGACCTTAGTGACAGGTCTTGAGCGTTGTTGAGTAAAATGGATATTATGGGTTTAGGATATAAATTGGTGAATTTAAATGGTGGGAGTTTATGGAATGTTTTATTGGTTGATGTTATTGTATGATATATTTAATTGATTGTGTGGATGTATAATGATATATAAGGAGATTGAATATTAGTTTACAGTGCTATACGCACTACCCCACGTACCCCTCATATTGTGATTATAAGTGACAGTAAGATGGCTGGTGAGAATGTAGCCAGGCCCAGTGTGAGGTCGCACGCGTCTTTGGATTAGCCGGCGTGTTGACAGACCCCGTACGTGGCCGGGTGCGTCCCGACGTATGAGTGGGAGATATGATGGTAAGATGGCTGGTGAGAATGTAGCCAGGCCCAGTGTGAGGTCGCACGCGTCTTTGGATTAGCCGGCGTGTTGACAGACCCCGTACGTGGCCAGGTGCGTCCCGACGTATGAGTGGGAGATATGATGTGAGGGCTGGTGAGAATGTAGCCAGGCCCAGTGTGAGGTCGCACGCGTCTTTGGATTAGCCGGCGTGTTGACAGACCCCGTACGTGGCCGGGTGCGTCCCGACGTATGAGTGGGAGATATGATGGTAAGATGGCTGGTGAGAATGTAGCCAGGCCCAGTGTGAGGTCGCACGCGTCTTTGGATTAGCCGGCGTGTTGACAGACCCCGTACGTGGCCGGGTGCGTCCCGACGTATGAGTGGGAGATATGATGGTAAGATGGCTGGTGAGAATGTAGCCAGGCCCAGTGTGAGGTCGCACGCGTCTTTGGATTAGCCGGCGTGTTGACAGACCCCGTACGTGGCCGGGTGCGTCCCGACGTATGAGTGGGAGATATGATGGTAAGATGGCTGGTGAGAATGTAGCCAGGCCCAGTGTGAGGTCGCACGCGTCTTTGGATTAGCCGGCGTGTTGACAGACCCCGTACGTGGCCGGGTGCGTCCCGATGTATGAGTGGGAGATATGATGGTAAGATGGCTGGTGAGAATGTAGCCAGGTCCAGTGTGAGGTCGCACGCGTCTTTGGATTAGTCGGCGTGTAGACAGACCCTATACGAGGCCGGGTGCATCCCGTCGTATGAGGGGAACTATGTGATGGTGTTTGTGTGTTGTGATGGTAGAATGTATGAATTTGTATGGATGAAATGGTTTGTTTGATATTAGGAGCCTTGATTGATAGGAAAGAGCTACGTGTGGCTTGATCCCTTAGTAGGGTACGTAGGCAGCCTGGGATAGCGCCTAGGTGCAGCCACGACCTAGACACCACTTAGGTGGTTTTATCGAGTATGATGCGGACCTCGTGGTTGGTCCCGAAACTTGGTTGAATTGAGGCTTGTCCGGCGGACTGAGTGAGTGAAGGTGTGCATAGATAGATTTGGAGAATCATTTGTAGGCCGGAGGCCGTTTATGTAAATTGCATGAGATTATATTGTGCGTGCTGCTGGTTGGGTTATAAAATGAGTTTTATGCAGGTGGAAATTTTGGGGAATGTTCAATTTACAGGGGAGACTCTGCCGAAATTTCGGTAGAAAGTCTCGTGCCCTAAATCCTCTCTGGTAAAAGAGGACATAGTTTTAAGGAGTAAACCCGGCGTGGGTGTGATGTCGGGGTCTCCGCAGGGTTCGTCTCGGGTTCCGGGAAATTCGGGGCGGGTCCTGTCAGATGGTCCGTCTCTTTGAAATTTAACATAAACTTTGTTGATTAAATATTAATTTGCGTTGCAATTACTTTTGCAGGTTCCTCGGGGATGAAGATATAGTAGCTTACATAGAAGAGCATCATGAGCTTTTTTTGAGTGCCATGTATAATGTATACAGGGCAACTGATGTTACTTTTACAGGAGAAAATCAGCTTGAGGATGCCAGGGCATTCTCAAGAAGAATACTAGAAAGGGAAACAATGAAGGATTGTATGAATTTGGTCCGACCTATTAGTATGACTAATTTGCAATGCCAGGTAAACATAAACTATAAATTGGGCTAACGACCCCTAGATATTAGTTTTTTAAAAGAATATTATTGTTTTATTATTTTAAGGATTTTTTTAATTATTTTTATTGACAAATTAGCACAAAAATGGGTCCCTCACTTGCCATGTCATTAATTTAACAGAAGACTAAACGGTTAGATTAACGGAATGTGTAAATTGATCGAATTTTAAAATGTTGAGATGTAAATTGATGAAATTGAAACCCCGTTGCCCAAATTGATAATGAACCCAAACATTTAAGGGGTGTTTTGTCATTAGCCCAAATAAATTTTACAATAAACGAAAAAAAACTAACAACAAAATATATACCTGTATTATTCGACAAAATTTATGAATAAAAAAAATATTGTAAAAAGTTAGGCCATTATTATTCATTTAAAATTTTAATCTTTTTTATTTAATAATATATGAAAAATATTTATATAATACGGGAATTTGCTTTAGCATACTTGATAATTCTAATTAGTTACTTAATCAGCTCCTTAATTTGTTGGATATTGTGTAGATTAAGCATGAACTTAGTATTCCATGGCTTGCTCGTTTGGATCATCTAGAGCACAGGAGGTGCATTGAGAGGGAAGAAAGTCTTGGTCCATGGACAGAAAATGCCTTATCCTATAGGTAATTAGAAGAAAGGCAGTCAAATTTTCACAATCAGATCAGTTGCTGTTAATTACCTGATTAACTCGTTTGATTAATTATTTCCCGCAGATTGTCATCTCAAAGCAATGCCACGCTGCTACAACTTGCCATTGAGAATTATACACTAAGACAGTCCATATTCAGAAATGAATTAAAGGAGTTAGAAAGGTACGTACTTACTCTCCTAATTGTTTTATTTATTTTATTTTATTCAGTCATGTAAAATGAAAACACTTTTCTTTTGTGTGTGGTGAAAAATCATATGCAGGTGGTCAAAGGAAATGGGTCTTGCTGATATGGGATTTGCTCGACAGAAAACCACGTACTGCCATTTTGCAGTTGCTTCAACCGCATCAAACTCTTCCCTTTCAGATGTACGGCTGGCAGTTGTGAAGTGTGCAACTCTTGTTACAGTCGCTGATGATTTTTTTGATAGGGAAGGTTCAATGGATGAATTGGAAGCTCTTGCCAATGCCGTCAACAGGTACTGTAATGTTAAACAATGATTCTTGTATACCACAACCACGATTATATAAAGTTCGTCTCACAATGATTCTTGTTATGAGGTGAATTACGAATGCCTATGAAGTTATACTAACTAAAGTTGATATATCACATAAAATCAGATGGGAGCCAAAAAGTTTGTTACTTATTTTTAACTTTTTACCAAATGAATCTTAGTGGTGCCAAACAATTGCAAGCTGGTTAAAGGAAGCAGAGTGGAGCCGAAATGGGCATGCCCCATCAACAGTTGAGTACCTCCAAGTGGCCACAAGCTCTATTGCTTCACAGACCATTCTTCTTCCAGCTGCTTTTCTGCTGAATCCACCTCCAGAAATAGACATCCTCAAGTGCCCTCAAAGGCAGCCACTTACAAATTCACTTATGCTTTTGACAAGGCTTTTGAATGACATTAGAAGCTACCAGGTGCATATTAATTTAATGACTAAATTCTTAATTAATTGTCAATATGTTTCAATTTTCAGTTGGCTAATGATATAATTGCAGAGGGAGCAAGAGGAGGGAAAGCCAAACCTCGTTCTGCTACACATGAAGGAAAATCCAAATTTGGGGGTTGAAGAATCAATAGCAATTGTACAGAAGACATTGGATGAAAAGAAGAAAGAGTTTCTAGAACTGGCTCTGAGTAGTAATGAAATGCCAGAAGCATGCAAACAACTTCACCTTCACTGCCTCAAAGCATTTCAGATGTTTTTCAATTCTACAAATGCATTTGACTCCCCAACGGAGTTGCTTGCTGACATCAACAAAGCAATTTTTGATCCCTTGAGAGTGGAAGATGTGCAAGGATCATTTATGCCACTCAACTCTATGCAAGGCACTCTTGGTTTGAAGAAGGATAATAGTTTGGCTATCCATGGCAAATCCCATTACAGCTCTTCTAAGCCCTGTAATGGGATTTTTGAGAGCATTTGTGCTATCAAAGTCCAAGGGAACTCAAGGAAAGACTTGGTGACCAAGCCTTATTCTAGAATCTTATCAGTAAAGATGAGAAACCCAATTATTTGTACAACTTTTTCAAAGCCCAAAGTTTACATCTAAAGCTCCCTTTCATGTGGCTTCCTTTCTTTACTTTATGTGTTTCCCTTTCAAAAGCCTTTTCTCTGCTTTTTCAAATGTTGACCCAGAGATCCTCTACATCCCTTGCATCTCCCTCATCTCCCTTTTCTCTCATCCCTCCACTCTTCCGTCGACCCGTGTCTCTGCCCCATCAAATCTCAAAACCAAAAGTCCTCTACCCCTAAAAGTTACTTGGTTTGCCACTGGATTGCTACAACTATTTTACTCCAACAACTCATTCTCAGATCTAACACTTGAATCTGCACTTGTGGGCTCTGTAAATGTATGGTCAATTTTGACAACTATTTTATAGATCGCTTGAGTATGATGCATGGTGGCTTGCTCCCCCATATCCACAGTCTACAGATCTCCTCTCTTGGTTCTCCTGGACCTCGCTCTTCTTGTGGCAGCGGTGGCGTATATGGTGGTGATCACGGTTGTGCTATCAAAGTTCAAGGGAACTCAAGGAAAGACTTAGTGACCTTTGTTTTTTGATAGCAAAAAGGAAGCCTTGAAGGGAGAAGTAGAATTAGAGAGGTTCGACGTGCGAAGATTTCCAATTTTTTTTTAAAAGACAGAACCTATATTAATTAGCCATAACAAAAACTCACACTAACCAACCAAAGAAATAAACTCATACTACTTAATCAAAACAATTAGAAATGCAGAAGTTATTTGTTAGCTTCTTATATACGTGGCAGCTTGTATATCTAAAGCTTCCCTTAAGTGTGTTTATAATTATAATGGTTCATAGAGTGGTGTCACAATTTTTTTTTTTTTTATTTGAGGAATGTGAGGTAAAAGAAAAATTAAAACTAAAAACTTAAATATCAAGAAACATGAAGATTGAACATAAACTTCCATTTAAGTTAAAGTAATTTACATTGTACTATTACAAGCAAAATAATAAGAAAGTAACAAACTTTCAGCAAAACACTCAAAACTATCCATAATCCGTTCTTCTTGTTTCCTCAGCAAAATCTAAACTTCAGATTCAAAGCCTGCAATAGATTCAATAAGGGGTGAGTATTACATGCTCAGTAGGGGTCCTATGTCTTATGTGATTAGTGAGAATTATAATGTACAATTTATGCAATGCATGAATGAACTTCATTTCTACCCAACTCGTTAATTTATATAATAGGGCAAACAAATCTGCATATCCCATACCATGCATTTTACCACTGTGATTCCGAATGCCCCATTATATAAACTAACATCCGTCTCAGTTACCCCATAATTCCCCCGTTTGCTAGTCATCTTGTCTACACCATTGATCTCCAAGCCCAAATCACCCAATCGACAATTATACCGCCGATTTCCTAATCTACTGTGCACACGGGCTCGCCTGAACTTGGTCCCTACAATGGTTAGACTCAACTACACAAAAGATTCTTCTCATTATCCTCTTTTCCATAATTTCTTTATCAACCCAAAAAAATTCCAACCACCACCGACAACAAATGAATATGTCAGTATTCATCAAATTATAATGATAATTGACAATACATATATACCCAATCTCAAGGATAACAATCAAATGAAATAACCAAGCATAATATAGTATTTACAATAATAATCAAATAATATTACTAAGCATAATATAGCATTTACAATATTTAATTAAATCAATGTATGCAAAACCTCCCCAAGAAAAACCCCTACCTCAAATCCAAAGCTATTGTACACTTCCCAGTTGAGCTTTTCCAAAATCTTATCACACTTAGTTTTCACTCTCGAATTTTTAAGAAACTCACACAACTTTGAAGAACCTATGATTCAATAACTATTAGTTAGAACTATATATTGTAGGTTAGAGTCGGCAAAACATTAATGGATGAAGCTTTAACATTATGCCACCTAACTAACCTAGGGATCTCTAGACTACAACCTATGATTTATAGACTAAATTGGTGGCTTGAAGATAAAACTGCCACTCCATTTAGTCTTAGGTGTTGGCTTCCGGAGAGTGCTTAGTGAGCACTTGCCAAATACATTTATATATATGAGAACATCTAATTCTTACACCTCATCTCAAAACATATCACCTCATGCTTCAATTGGTTTTTGAAGTCTCCCTAATGCAACACGTCACTTAAGAGAAAGCTTAGTAAGCATTAATACCTTTCTAAAAGCTTTTGTGTGTATAGCATAAATATTAAATGAATTGCTATAGTTAAATTCATACAATGAGGTTTGATAGGCTATAACAAGATTCACGTAGCTTACCATATAACGAATTAATATATATATAGTTTTGAAAACTAATAATTATAAATAATTAATTTTATGAAATATTAATATACATATTTAAAAAATGTGGGGTTTTACAAGTGGACTTTTATAGATTATTAAAATACATACGTATGTGTATAATACATTAAATACAAGTATTAAATGTTAAAATGCTAATTTTTTAAAATAATATACATTTTTATCGTTTCGAAATCTCGTGTAAACTTGATTATTGTGTTGTTGAAATGTTAATAAATAAATAAATAAATAAATAAATAATTCACATAAATCAAATTACACCATAAAAATCCAAATGTAGAGCCCCCATAGAGGAAAAGATATACCTTTAGAGTCCAAAATATTTCATCGGAGCTCTAAATGAGGCTTTATTCACCATTTTTAGAGCCTCATTTAGGGACTATGATGGGAGATGCCCCAATAAGTTTTATGGCTATAGCGACTTTATTTCTTTTGTGTTGCATTTCTTTGAGTTCTGTATTGACTTCGGATTTCTTTTAGCATAACTCCAAATTTGGTATTCCAAGTCTTCGCATGGGTCTTGGCAAAACAAACAAAGCACAACTTGTGGTTGTTGAGGTCATAATGATGGATGGACCATTTTGGAAGTGTACAATTCAGAACGTAAAAGCTTCACACAAATAAGATTAATTGTTCTTATGGATTTGTTGTATTCAGAGAAAACTAATTTAGATTGAAATAAAGCACCATTGACTTTATTGAAACGATTAATATGTAAGTCATCTACACGTACGTACATTTTAGATCATATGCATATGCTTATATCATGCATGACCTCAGTCTTGCGGCCATTAATGGAAGATCAAAGTAGAGTTATCTTGGAAGAAAAACTTTCAAAATCATCATTTCCTATATTCCAGTTGTAATTGGATGTTGATTGATTTGCATTAGGTGGCTGTATGATACGTGAAAAGGATCCATTAGGATATGTAGTGTAGTAAAGGTTATGGGTTTGAATCCTACCATTTGTGTAGTATGTGTGAGTTTAATAATGTTATCGCCACTTTTAATAGAGAAATGTCCTCAAAAAAGAAAAAGAAAAAGGTTGCTTAACTTGGTCATTATCATGTTGCGTTTATATAGTTAACCTTGATAGCTGCCAATCCTTCAGTATAAACACATATATTCTGGTCCTACTAGACATATACGATGTTTGTTTCCCGTATAGATTTTATTTTGGCCACAAAAAATTTAGTACGCACATTTAGAATATATGTTATTCTAATTCACTAAATGTTATTTTGGCCACAAAAAATATAGTACACACATTTAGAATATATGTTATTCTAAATGTCATAGAAATTTGAGTGTGATCATATCATCTCTTTGTACATGTTATAATATGATCAATAATAATAAATAAAATTCATGTTATAATGCAAAACATCAATGTCGTGACACCCTACCACTCTTGAATGTGTCTGGTCTACCTCTCGACAATACCATGTTTTGGGCCATAAAATTACGTTGCACGTTGTGTGGTGGTCAAGAAGCTATCAGAATAACTGTGTGTAAAGCAGGTTGAGAAATTCATATATGTCGGCCGGCAAGCTTGAATACAGAAATTCATAAATGTTTTGGGCCCTCTGGCCCTCTGGTCGAATTCATATATAGAAGACCCTGACTTCTCATTTGAATACAGAAATGAAGCATCAGATTTGCGGCCGGATCAGGTGGGTACACCAGATTAACAAACTTAAAATTTTTAAGTCCAGATAAAGAAACTCTACATCCAACAAAGAATTTTAATGTGTAAACATTGAGAAAAAGAATCAAAAGACAATTAGAATTCCAGGTGTTATCCTTATAAATAATGAAATGCATGCATACATGCTTCCATAGTGTAACTAGCCTTGATTTCATTACCTTAAACTATCCCAGCACTTGCCCAGACATTTCGTGGAAAACCCACAATATTAATGTGGTCTGACTCTGGACTGGACCGGACCAGAAGTACCTCATACAATTGAGGGCATACACGAGTATTTGGTCGAACTCCAAAAGTTGCCAGCCATTCATACCACTACTCGACACAGTAGAAATTGATTTTTAATTTGGTTCTGAGTTCCCATATACATATAGGAGAGTCACAACCAAACTGAAAGTTTCGGAGAAAAAAAGAATAATAAAGATCTTAGATGAAGTTGACTCATATCATTTCAAAAGACTCATTTAATAAGTTGGGCATTACCGATATTTACACACCAACTTGAAGGGGAGTATTGGCGTAAATCAATTAGTCCTATTAGGAATATAATTATGTAATTATTGTAGTTTATTATAGTTACCTAATTTGTGTATATTTCCTATTTGTATTCACTCTATATGTAGTATATATATCAATAAACATACCAATTTAAACTATAATTATTTATGAGTGACCCATCCATCCCATGCAAATATATATAGAGCCAGCCACCACTACCTTCCTTCCCTTCTATAAGAAAAAGGGCCACTGTCTATGGAGAGAAGCCTCATATTGGGTTGGTTTTTGAGGTTGGATGGAGGATTTTCATGAAGCAAATGAACAAGAATGAATAATAGAAGGTTAACCAATTCTGATTCTAAATCAAGTCTTTTTTCTTTTCTCTTTTCGAGAAACCTATAAAAACTTTGGAAAATAATAATAAAGATTTGCCTAAAAATATTCACCAAGCCACCATGAGAGCCATTACAGGGGCCAAACAAGTAACCATGAGAGCTATATAACACACAAAAAGGGACCACCGTCTAACTTGTTTTGAATCCGACTTGAACCCGGGGAGTTCATCAATTCTATGTCAAGAGGTTATTGCTTAGATTGGTTCTTTGTTTCATGTCAAAGATTCTCACATCTCGGGATCGGCTCGGCCGTAGAACGATATTGTTCGTTTTGGGCCCCCTTCTCTGCCCTCACGGTTTTGTTTTTGGGAACTCACGAGCAACTTCCCAGTAGGTCACCCATCTTGAGATTGCTTTGGCCCCAAGTCGCTTAACTTCGGAGTTCCCATGACTCCGAAGCCAGTGAGCTCCCAAAAGGCCTCGTGCTAGATGGAGGTGGGCATGTACATATAAGGCACATCACCTCCTCTCCGTTGGTCGATGTGAGATGTTACAATCCACCTCCCTTAGGAGCCCGACGTCCTCGTCGGCATACTCGCACCACACGGCAGAGTGGCTCTGATACCAAATTGTCACATACCGGGATCGGTTCGGTCGTAGCACGATATTGTCTGCTTTGGGCCCAATTCTTTGCCCTTACGGTTTTGTTTATGGGAACTCATGAGCAACTTTCCAGTAGGTCATCCATCCTGGGATTGCTCTGGCCCCAACTCACTTAACTTCAGAGTCCCATGACTCCGAAGCCAGTGAGCTCCCAAAAGGCCTTGTGCTAGATGGAGGTGGGTATGTACATATAAGGCACATCACCCCCTCTCCATTGGTCGATGTGGGATGTTACGAAGATTTAGGCCCTACATTATTTTCTTGGGCTTGAAGTTACGAGGTCTTCTGAGGGTTTATTCTTGTCTCAAACTAAGTATGCTTACTTATGAACTGCTGCATAAATCTGATTTCTTGAGAGCCAAGGCTTGCTCCAGTCCCACAATTTCCCTCATTATATTTAAACGTATTTTGTTTGAAGATTATTGCATATTTTTCAAATAGACTTATTACTTCGAATATTTTATGTTTAAGGGACCTAACGTATATTTGATTACTTAACATTATAAATATAAATAATTTACTTGTACTTATTTTTTATATAGACATAATCTACCTAATACTGTAAATATAATTACCTAACATATTTTTGTACGCATTTTTCATATCTTCAACTGTTTGGCTTCACATCACGTCACACATGATTCATGTGTAAAACTCTTAACTTGTCATTTGAATAATTATATACACTATACACATATACATACACAGAAAATTTGAACCTGAATGATTTTCCACCTTGGCATAAGCTTCATGGCAAATATGGCAAGCCTCCCAATCGCTCAAAGAAGCCTCATGCAGCTGCAAATCCTACAAATGAGTGTCTCAAATTCACAACTGATGAAGAATTCACCCAACTAAAATCCTTCCTTTGTGATGGTAAATCTCATGTTAATTTTATAGGTAAAACACCTCCATTTTGCGCCACCACGACTTCATCATCTACCACCCCTTGGATACTTGATAGTGGAGCCACCGAACATATAGCGCCTCCTTGTGGATTATGCACGCCTCTGAATTCTAGGGTTTGATGCAAAAATCAATGGCCTTGGTTCTTCTTCCCTTGGTCCCAATTTGTCTGTTGATAGGGTTCTTTGCGTGCCTTCTTTTGTTAAGAATTAGGAAAAGTTAATTTAGTTTCCTTGTGTATATTGATTGTAATTGATTCAGAGGTAGCCTCCAAGTAACCTAGTTTTCCTTGCAAAGCTTGTAAACCTTGTATGTATACTTAGCCTTTTTGGCTCTATCAAGATAATCAAGAATTATTCTTCTCAATACAATCACCAATTTAACATGGTATCAGAGTAGGTTGATTGACTGGGCAAGAATTTCTAGGCCTTTACCCAATACGTGGTGTTCACGTGTTGGGCTTGCTTGTTTATCCTTACCCCTTATCCAATACGTGGTGTTCATGTGTTTGGCTTGAATATTTGACTATGATGTGGAATTGGCTCCACCTGTCGCTAACTACGTACGTGAGGGGACGTGTTGAAGAATGTAAAGTCCCACATTTTAAACTTGACTAAATAAATTACAATATATAATGAGTGGTTCCACTATTAATAGCATCGAGACCTTTTGTATAAAACGTCACACCTGCTAAACTTGTGATTAAGTTGGGACTATAAGCGGCTGCCCTACTTTCATTTATTTATTTTTAACTACAAAACTTGTACAATCAAACGTTTTGGCAAGAATATATATATATATATATATATATAAATACATAAAAATAAAAATAAAAGGCAAAACAAAACGTTTTGGCAAAAAACATATACATAGGAAAAAATCCAACAACCAAACGTGCATTGTAGTTAAAAGTTTTTTGGAATATAATACTAATAAATAAAAGACATATTGGTGAATTTCTAACCCGAGGCCAAAAAAATCCTTTCTTCTTATTTTCCAAATTTAATGTTTGGCTTTATGCATGCAAAACATCAATGTCGTGAAAATAGTGGTGGCCCTGTACCAAAAGTTGAGTGTCTGGTCTTCGTCTTCGTACGTACCTCTCAAGTCTCAACAGTATCATATCATGTTGCACGTTGTGTGGTCGTCAAGAAGCCAAAGCTATCACTGAATAGTTGTGTGTAAGCTGGTTGAGATATTTATAAATGTCGGCCAGCTACCCTCTTTATAATTCTCAAACAAAACGGCACATGCATGGTCGTTTTTCAATCAAATCAATTGAGGTCCTTACTCCATGACAATCATCTAAACTAAAAATTATATTGGAACAACTTCGACGAAACCAGGGGAGGAAAATGAAGCATCAAATTTGCGGCCGGAGGTCCACCAGATTGACAAATACCATTACAGCACCTGCGCTAGGAAACTCAAGGAAAGACCTAGCGGCCAAGCCTTACTCTAGAATAATCTTATCAGTTAAGATGACAAACCCAACTAATCTTTTTCTTCAAGGAAGATGATAATTGATAAATGTAAAATAGGGAAGAAAGATATTTGCCTGAATGATTTTCATTGAGTCAGAGGGTGTAACTTTATACAAGAGATTTCCTATAATGATGCTAAGCTATTCTAGGAATCTAAATTACAATAGGAAAAGAAATATTCTACAGCACATAATTACATATTTGTTTCCAGATCCATCCTGTGAACATTAGGAAATCATTGACCTTCTTAACACTCCCCCTCAAGTTGGAGAGTGAATGTCGAGAACTCCCAACTTGCGAATCATGGTAGAAAAGGGTTCCTTTCCCAACGGTTTAGTGAATACATCCGCAAGCTGATTTGCCGAAGTAACAAACTTGGTTACAACCGAACCATCCTGTATTTTGTCCCGAATAAAGTGGCAGTCCATTTCTATATGCCTGGTTCTCTCATGGAAAACGGGATTGGCTGCTATATGTAAGGCTGCTTTGTTATCACAATGTAGCAATGCCGGTTTCAGATGCAATATTCGTAAATCCTTCAATAATGAACGTAACCAAGACAACTCACAGCATGTACCTGTCATGGCTCTATATTCGGCTTCTGCTAAAGAGAGTGACACTGTTTTCTGCCTCTTTGTTCGCCAAGAAACAAGTGAAGATCCTAAAAAAAACACAATAACCTGTAGTGGATCTACGAGTCATTGGACAACCAGCCCAATCCGAGTCACAAAAAGCTCGCAGAGATAAATCATTTTGAGAAGAGAAAAACAAACCCTGTCCTGGAGCACTTTTCAAATAACGCAACACACGCAAGGCAGCTTCCATATGTGGTCTACGTGGTGCATGCATGAATCGGCTTAATACATGTACCGAATACATGATATCAGGCCGAGTAATAGTTAAATAAATTAGGCGTCCCACAAGTCGCCTATATTGAGATGGATCTCTAAGCAATTCACCTGTGTCAGAGAGCTTTATGTTTTGCTCCATGGGAAAGTTCACAGGTTTAGCACCCAAAATTCCACCATCCTTCAAAATTTCCAAAGTGTATTTCCGTTGTGAAATAGAAATACCTTTCTTTGATCGAGAGACTTTAATGCCCAGAAAATATTTCAAATCCCCCAAATCTTTAATTCGGAAACGACTATGCAAAAATTGCTTAAGAGTGGATATAGCCTTGAGATCATTACCCATAATAAGAATATCGTCAACATATATCAACAGAGCGGTAAAGGACTTTCCATTCCGACATGTGAATAACGAGTAGTCCGCTTTGGACTGAACATATCCGGCAGCTTGAACAGCTGTTGAGAACTTGGCAAACCATTGACGAGAAGCTTGCTTTAAACCATACAACGACTTGTTGAGGCGACACACCAAGTTCTCCCCCTGTCGCTGAAGACCAGGAGGTGGAGACATATAAATTTCTTCATGGAGATCACCATGAAGGAAAGCATTGTTGACATCTAATTGGTGAAGGGACCAATCCTGAGCAGCTGCCAGAGCCAATAAACAACGAATAGTAATCATTTTAGCAGTGGGAGAAAAAGTGTCATGATAATCGATACCTTCCAACTGTGTGTAACCCTTGGCCACCAAACGAGCTTTATAACGCTCTATGGTGCCATCTGAGTGACGTTTGATTTTATAAACCCAGCGACATCCAATGGGTTTCTTGCCATGAGGGAGAGGAGTGAGGGACCAAGTGTGATTGGCCTCTAAAGCTGCCAATTCAGATTGCATGGCGTCCTGCCAGTGTGAATGGGAAGCTGCTTCGGTATAAGAGCTGGGCTCAACATCCTGACTAATAGTAGCAACAAAAGAATGATGCTGTGGTGAGTAACGATGGTAAGAGAGAAAGTTACAAAGAGGATACCTTGTACTTTTGGTGGAACCAGACGAAGAAGACGGCGACGGTTTGGGAGACGTTACTTGGTTGCAAACATAATCACGTAAAGCACGTGGAGGACTGTGATGTCGTTGAGAACGTCGTAAAACTGGTACGGGAGGGGGCTGAACGACGCTGGCAGGAATGGGTTGATCAAAAGTGGAGGTGGCTGGATGCGGAGACGCAGAAGGAGAAGCTGGCTGGGTCATTTCTAATGGAGGGATGGGAGGGGGCTGAACGACGCTGATAGGAATGGGTTGATCAAAAGTGGAGGTGGCTGGATGCGGAGACGCAGAAGGAGAATCGGGTTGGGTCATTGCTAAGGGAGGGACGGGATGGACCGGTCCTAATGGTGCTGTGAAGGTCGTAGGGAATGAGTCAGAAATAGGAGGGTCAGACACAAAATGAGGAAGGACGGGGGCTAGAGGTGTTGGAATGGATGGAAGGGACGCATAGGGAAAAATAGTTTCATGAAAAACAATGTCACGACTAGTGAAAAATTTATGAGTGGTAAGGTCATAGAGCTTGTAGGCTTTTTGACCGATCGGGTAACCAAGGAAAACACAACGTTTGGCTCTAGGAGCGAACTTATGAGGGACATGCACATCAGTAGCATAGGCAAGACACCCGAAAACCTTAAGATGGGAATAGGAAGGGATCTTGCCATAAAGGCGTTCAAAAGGAGTTTGTTGGGAAAGAAGTGGTGTGGGCAAACGATTAATCAAATGTACAGCGGTGAGAACACATTCTGCCCAAAAACGCAAAGGGAGATGGGCTTGAAAGCGAAGGGCACAGGCTGACTCAAGGATATGACGATGTTTGCGCTCTACAACCCCATTTTGTTGGGGTGTATAGACACAAGAGTGTTGGTAAGTAGTGCCATTTTGTTGAAAAAAAGCTTTCATAGAAGAGAATTCCCCCCCATTATCAACTCGAATATTAGCAATGGATGCAGCAAATTGAGTTTTGACAAAGGAGAAAAAATTTGTAAGTAAATGTTGTGTTTCACTTTTGTGCTGCATAAAGAATACCCATGTGAAACGAGAATAATCATCCACAATTGTCAAAAAATATTTAGCACCAGAAAAAGAAGGAATTTTGTAGGGGCCCCAAATATCACAGTGAATTAACTCAAACGGTCTAACAGACGAAATTGAACTAGCAGAAAAAGGAAGTCGACATTGTTTTGCAAGTGCACAAACATCACAAGGATTATTGGATTTGAAAGGAAAATTGAGCAAATTTTTTGCCATAAAATCTAATCTAGAGGAAGATAGATGCCCTAATCGGCGGTGCCACAAGTCAGTGGAGGAGGTGACATGAGAACAAGATGGATGGCTAGCAATGGCAGCGGAGGATCTGAATTTAGGGCTCGGTGTTGCTGACGCCAATGCGACCAAGTAATAAAGTCCGTCTCGTTGTTTACCCAAACCAATCGTCGTCTTCGTCGTCAAGTCCTGCAAAATACACCAAGAGGGAAAAAAGGTTACAGAACAATTGAGACTTCTTGTAACTTGACTCACAGACATCAAATCCACCTTGAAAGATGGCACACCAAGCACATTTTTCAAAGAAATAACAGAGTTCAAAGGTAAAGTTCCAGTAGATGTGATTGGAGCCTGTTCTCCACTGGGCATAATAACTGGCGGTAAAATAGTGTTCTGACGACTGTTGACAAGCAAATTTGGAGAAGAAGTAATATGATCGGTTGCACCACTATCGAGGATTAATCGACGGAGGCGCAACGGTGCTTGTGACAAATTTGAAGAAGTACCAGCAGCATTGGCCTTAGGATTGGAGGATTGATTTGCCCCTTTATTGTTAATAATAGATAATATCTGTTGAAACTGGAGATCAGAGAGAAATTGCTCGCGCTCCATGATGAGAAGCAATGGCAAAGAAAATAAAAATTGAGACGGCAAAAAAAGAGAGAGCTAGGGTTTGTCTTCCTGCTCTGATACCATGTAAAATAGGGAAGAAAGATATTTGCCTGAATGATTTTCATTGAGTCAAAGGGTGTAATTTTATACAAGAGATTTCCTATAATGATGCTAAGCTATTCTAGGAATCTAAATTACAATAGGGAAAGAAATATTCTACAGCACATAATTACATATTTGTTTCCAGATCCATCCTGTGAACATTAGGAAATCATTGACCTTCTTAACAATAAAGGAATTTCAAAACTTGTCTGGAATGGAGGCTATCTAGATAGATATAGTGTCACTTTTTAAGACAATAACTTGGGGATTAAGCTCATCCACCGCGATTTCCCAGAATCACCAGTCTACGAGCCCAACCTCACACAAGCAGAAAGTACTCAAAAACTCATTCTCCTACTATCCAATGTTAATGTTCTGCGTTCAACAGTTGACCATCAAGAGGTACTTTCTTCTGGATTGTTCGACCACCGTACGAAATCATGGAGCGAGCACTGGTGAACTACTTCTCTTGGATTCCTGGCCTCACGAGATCATGCTGACACCGAGACTTTTCAATTTGTGCTACCAAAGACCGGCATGAAGAAGACAAGGATATAACAATCTTGCAACTATCACATTCCATTTGGGTGGTGCTGATCTTATGCTGCAGCCTCCGAGTGCGTTTTCTGTGGGTCTCGATCAGAGCCGAAAAGAGTATTTTTGCTTGGCAATGATATCCTCAGGGCTTTCCCAACGCGAAAGCCTCATAGGTGTATACCAGCAAACAAATCATCGTTTCATATTTGATCTTAACAGAAAGACATTGCGTTTTGGAGACGAAGATTGCATTTGAAATTCATGAATTGTTATTGTCATGTCTTGCTACCTAGTTAGCTAGCTAGAGTGCTAGCAACCATAAGGAATTACAATCAGAATACAGAAGGAAATGAATAAAATTATCGAAGAAAAATTCAACCTCTCTTGCCTTCAACATGCATATGTGTGTGACTATTGATCTTAAAACTTTTCCTTCTCTTATCATTGAGACGTTGTGATGTATGTGAAAGTTAAAGATGACAGAGGACATGTTGCAAGGTGAAACGTGTAGGAGAATTTGTCTCTCTTCTAAAGAAAACTCGAGGGGTGGGATACCAAGATTAATTAATTAATTTGTCTTAATTACTACAAAACCTATGCTGCAAAATATTCAAGCCATCCTTGCCATTACTTGGGTTACAATCTGCAGCTCCGGAAAAACCATGTCAGGGTTCTAAATAAGTTTCAAACAAGATTGCTCAAAACACAACTAGAATTGCCACACAGAAACAGTGGCAGCGGTATTGCATTTATTTATATTGAATCAAAGGTACATCAGATGACGAGGACAAGAGTCCAGATAAGAACACAACACCGTCAAGATAATTACAATGAGTTTACACGCGAGATAGATAATGATACAAGATAAGCTTTAGGGAGGCTGAGCAGCTATGAGTTGTCTATCACTTGGTACAATAATGTCTCATCCGCAGAGTACTATTATTTTTCCAGCGGTGCATCAAATTTGAGTATGACAATCGCACCTTCAATATAAATACGTCACCAGTTTTTTTAGAATTAATATTGGTGAATTAGGGACACCCACACCAACAAAAGCCTTAATTGTTTGTACTTTCCAAATTTAACATGTTCAAATGTTTGGCTTCAAGCATGCAAATCAACAATGTCGTGAAAATAGCGGTGACCCTCTCTACAACTCTTGAACTTGACTTACTATGTCTGGTCTACGTAGGTACCTCTCAAGTCTCTGTGTTAGCAGGTTGAGAAATTCATAAATGTCGGCCGGCTACCCTACCTAGTCCTCAGTCATCTTTGTAATTCTCAAACAAAGCGGCATATGTGACGTATTATTTATTATGTGGCTGAGAGAAAATGTCTCATATATGGTCCTTACTACATGACAATATAATTTTCGAATAACTAAATTGGAACAACTTCGAAGAAATAGAGGAGGAAAAGTGAAGCGTCAAATTGCGGCCAGATCAGGTCCACCAGATTGACAAACTTCAAAATTAATTCTACATCCAACATGTATCGATATGTTAATTTCTTAGAATTTTCAAGTGTAAACACGGAGAAAAAGAAGCAAAAGACGATTAGAATTCCGGGTGTTATCCTTATAATTAATGAAGTGCATGCATGCTTCCATAATGTAACTAGCCTTGAGTTCATTACCTTAATAAATTATACCAGCACTTGCCCAACGTATATATACTTTCGTGGAAACCCACATTATTAATGTAGTCTGGATTTTGGACACAGGGCACGATTATTTGGTCCCAAACTACAAAAGCGGCCCGCAATTCATTCATACCAGTACTCGACACAGTAGAAATTGATTTTGTCCTACAAAAGGGCACTTATGGAAATGCACACATGTTGAAATACCTAATGGCTTGAGTTAAACTGATTATATATAAATAGCACACAGATTATGCGAGAATCTACACAAAAAATACTAAGAAAAGGAAAAAAGTAGTATGCGTGTGACTGCTTGAGTAGTGCGTACTCTGAATTAAAAATATATATTTTGCATGGATTCGCAAGAATCTCTAGTTAAGAATCTTTTAATGAAGGTTAAACAAGATCTCTTCGCGTCATCAGAATTTGATGTTTATTCTCTTGTGCCTCCTTCTCCTTACGACACTGCTTGGCTCTCAATGGTTCCCAACCCTCAACAATCAGATCAACCATTGTTTCAGGGGTGCTTGGATTGGGTGCTCCAACACCAAAACAGAGGAGGCTTCTGGGGTGACAATATTGCTCATCCCACTTTAGAGTGCCTCACTTCAACTCTTGCTTGCATTGTTGCACTTACCACATGGAATGTTGGTCACGATGCCATTCAAAAAGGTACACATAGTTTTTCTTTAATCTGGACGTCCGTTTTCTAATAAAGTCTGGTTCTTTACACATTATTGGATTATTTCTATTACCAATGAATTATCTGCAACGAACATTACACTATTTCAGTAGCTTAAATCAAGAGAACCGGACTTTAAAAAGAAAGTAACCAATTTTGCGCATAACTAATTGCTGCAAACTTTGCTTTGTTGTGTTTGTTGACTCGAGTGTGTATATATGTATGTTTAGGGTTGGCATTCATCCATGGAAACACAGAGAGGCTCTTGGAAGAGCAGAATGGTTCTTCTCCTGAGTGGTTTGCAATAGTTTTCCCAGCAATGATTGAACTTGCAGAGACCAAAGGCTTACATGTTTACTTTTCCAATGGGCTGGTAGAACAAGTCTTCCTAAAGAGACAAGAAATATTGCAAACGTGCAGGTAGTTTTAAATTTTAATTTCACTTTATTTTTTATAGGTAGTACACTTATAATAGACTTAATTTGGTGCAGGTGGGTGTCTGGTTGTGGTCAGCAACAGTATTATCCAGCACTCATGTCAAAATATCATGAAGACGGGTTAATCCAATCCCCATCAGCCATTGCACATGCTTTCATGAAGACAGGAAACAAGGAGTTTTTGGTCAAATTGAATTCTATTGTCCAAACATGTGGTTATGGAGGTACGTAGTTTTCTTTTTATATTTTGTCTTATATGATGTCATTGTTGTCCTACTTGCATGTGAGTTCACATATACGTCACTCAATGACAAATGAACCAAATGAGCTCACAACAATAGGCTTGGCTTCTATATCAAGTGGTTGAAAATAGTTTTTCATGTACATGAGGTTATGTGTTCAAGTTTCGCTCCCCGGTATCGCTTTTATTAAAAATAAAAAAACTACATGGGCTAACATAGTAGGACAATTTTGGAACGTTTACAGTTCCTGCGGTCTACCCCTTGGATGAAGACCTTGTAAAGATTCTTCTAATTAACCAGATTGAGACGCTGGGGTTGGCAGAGCATTTCAAGGAGGAGATTACAAGTTTGCTGGCCCAAGTTTACAGGTTACTGCCAGCCCTAATATTCAACATTAATTAATCATATTTATATATAGATATTTAACATGTGCATATAATTATCCTGGTTGATAAATTTATTTTTGTCTAAAAGCAGAAGTTACATCAGCTGCGAAGAACCGAAGAGTATGGCAAAGAATGCGATGCCACTACAACTGTATAAACATTCCCTCGCATTTCGACTTCTAAGACTACATGGTTATAGAGTTTCTCCTCGTAAGGATCAATGATAATTACATATATGTTTATTAATTGAATTGCATATTAAACTGTTGAAGAATCTAAAGTCTCATCACATTGGAAATTTGACAAAATAAATATAATATATAATGAGTGGTTTCACAACTAATATCACCGAGACCTTTTTGTGACAAAACTCCATAGACTACGATGTGGACTTCACTGCACGTGTGGCCTACTCTGTGGTGGTCCCACGTGAAGAGGCATGTTGAAGAATATAAAGTCTCACATCAAAAACTTGATCAAATAAAATATAACATATAATGAATTGTTCCACTACTAATATCACCGAGGCCTATCATTTTAAAATCCCACCCGTAGGCCGATGGTCATTCTCTTTGAAAATTAACATAAACTTTGTTGATTAAATATTAATTTGCGTTGCAATTACTTTTGCAGGAAATTTCTGCAGGTTCCTCGGGGATGAAGATATAATGGCTTACATAGAAGAGCATCATGAGCGTTTTTTGAGTGCCATGTATAATGTATACAGGGCAACTGATGTTACTTTTACAGGAGAAAACCAGCTTAAGGATGCCAGGGCATTCTCAAGAAGAATACTAGAAAAGGAAACAATGAAAGATTGTATGAATTTGGTCCGACCTATTAGTATGACTAATTTGCAAGGCCAGGTAAACATAAACTATAAATTGGGCTAATGATAAAACGCCCCTAGATATTAGTTTTTTAAAAGAATATTAATGTTTTATTATTTTAAGGATGTTTTTTTATTATTTTTATTGACACATCAGCACAAAAGTGGATACCTCACTTGCCACGTCATTAGTTTAACAGATGACTAGACAGTCAAATTAACAGAATGTGTAAATTGATCAAATCTTAAAATGTTAGGATGTAAATTGATGAAATTGAAACCCCGATGCCCATATTGAGAATGACCCCAAACATTTAGGAGATGTTTTGTCATTAGCCCAAATAAATTTTATAATAAACGAAAAAATATAACAACAAAATATATACATGTATTATTCGACAAAATTTATGAATAAAAAAAAATATTGTAAAAAGTTAGGCCATTATTATTCATTTAAAATTTTAATCTTTTTATTTAATCATATGTGAAAGATATTTATATAATATGTGAATTTTCTTTAGCATACTTGATAATTCTAATTAGTTTCTTAATCATCTCCTTAATTTGTTGGATATTGTGTAGATTAAGCATGAACTTAGTATTCCATGGCTTGCTCGTTTGGATCATCTAGAGCACAGGAGGTGCATTGAGAGGGAAGAAAGTCTTGGTCCAGGGACAGCAAATGCCTTATCCTATAGGTAATTACTAATACTATATTCAAACTAGAAGAAAGGCAGTCAAATTTTCACAATCAGATCAGTTGCTGTTAATTACCTGATTAACTCGTTTGATTAATTATTTTACAAATTTATAAATAAACTCAATCCTAGACATGTATTTATAAAAAAACCCAAGCACTATTTAAACATAGAAACACACCCAAAATCAACCATAAAATCAACAATTGTATATTTTTGGGTGTGTTTATAAATGGGTTTTGAGTGTGTGTAATGATGGGTTTGGGTGTGTTTATAAAGTGTTTTGGGTGTTGGGTTTTTTTATAATTTCAGCCCCATTTTGGGTGTTTTAGTGAAACTCCCTAATTATTTCCCGCAGATTATCATCTCAAAGCAATGCCACGCTGCTACAACTTGCCATTGAGAATTATACACTAAGACAGTCCATATTCAGAAATGAATTAAAGGAGTTAGAAAGGTACTCCTAATTGTGTTATTTATTTATTTTATTTTATTCAGTCATGTAAAATGAAAACACTTTTCTTTTGTGTGTGGTGAAAAATCATATGCAGGTGGTCAAAGGAAATGGGTCTTGCTGACATGGGATTTGCTCGACAGAAAACCACATACTGCCATTTTGCAGTTGCTTCAACCGCATCAAACTCTTCCCTTTCAGATGTACGGCTGGCAGTTGTGAAGAGTGCAATTCTTGTTACAGTTGCTGATGATTTTTTTGATAGGGAAGGTTCAACGGATGAATTGGAAGCTCTTGCCAATGCCGTCAACAGGTACAGTAATGTTAAAGTTTGTCTCACAAGTAACTATTATGTGGTGAATTACGAACACCTACGAAGTTATATATAATATAATTCTCGCATTCAAAAATACTTTGTCAAAGTAATTTACTAACTAATTTTGATACATCATATAAAATCAGATGGGAGCCAAAAGGCCTGACTGGACATGGCAAAACTATATTCAATGCTCTCAAAGACCTTGTTGATGACATTTCTGGGCAATTCTTCAATAAAAATGGATATGACATAAAGGCATATCTCCAGGAACTAGTAAGACTTTACTCTTAAATTTCAGCTGACAATATTTTCTTACACTTCTGCGTAGCATTAAGGTAAAAAAAGCTTGTAACTTATTTTTAACTTTTTACCAAATGAATCTTAGTGGTGCCAAACCATTGCAAGCTGGTCAAAGGAAGCAGAGTGGAGCAGAAATGGGCATGCCCCATCAACAGTTGAGTACCTCCAAGTGGCCGCAACCTCTATTGCTTCACATACTATTCTTCTTCCGGCTGCTTTTCTGCTTAATCCACCTCCAGAAATAGACATCCTCAAGAAAAGGCAGCCACTTACAAATTCACTTATGCTTTTAACTAGGCTTTTGAATGAAATTAGAAGCTACCAGGTACATATTTAATGACCAAATTCTTAATTAATTGTCATTATGTTTAGTAATCTCTTAATTTTCATTTGTTAATGGTATAATTGCAGAAGGAGCAAGAGGAGGGAAAGCCAAACCTTGTTCTGCTATACATGAAGGAAAATCCAAATTTGGGGGTTGAAGAATCAATAGCAATTATACAGAAGACATTGGATGAAAAGAAGAAAGAGTTTCTAGAACTGGCTCTGAGTAGTAATGAAATGCCAGAGGCATGCAAACGACTTCACCTTCACTGCCTCAAATCATTTCAGATGTTTTTCAATTCTACAAATGCATTTGACTCCCCAACAGAGTTGCTTGCTGACATCAACAAAGCAATTTTTGATCCCTTGAGAGTGGAGGATGTGCCAGGATCATTTATGCCACCCAACTCTTTTCAAAGCACTCTTGGTTTGAAGAAGGAAAAAAGTTTGGCTAGCCATGGAAAATCCCATTACAGCTCTTCTAAGCCCTGTAATGGGTTTTTAAAGAGCACTTGTGCTATCAAAGTCCAAGGGAACTCAAGGAAAGAGTTAGTGACCAGGCCTTACTCTAGAATCTTATCACTTCAGATGAGAAACCCAACTATTTATACAACCTTTTCAAAGCCCAAAGCTTACATCTATTAGCTTTTTTATATGTGGCCGCTGGTATATCGAACGCTATCTTTTATGTATGCACTAAGTCTCAGTGTGTTTGTATGATATAATTTGGTAGAGTGGAGCCTTCCACCTTATATATAAAATAATTTTGAAAAGTGGACTTTCATAGATTCTTATACATATCTTTCGCTTGCTTCTTTGTTTGGTAGCAACGGATTCAGGATTTCAAATTGGAGTGGGTTAAATTTACCTTACTTATGTTAGAATTGAAAGGGGGAAACAACAAAGTGATTTTATTAATTGAGGAGGTGAATAGTACATGGCTTAGTGTAGGCTAATTGGCCTTCTTCACTTAGCATATTAGCTTATTGGCCACAACACTTGGTTTGATATGTTTGGGCTATTTGGCCCTTCACTTAGATTAGTTTGGGCTATTTGGCCCTTACACTTAGATTAATGAGCTTATTGGCTCTCAACATAGTTAGCATTAGGTAGCCCTTGGCTCCCTTAGTTTGGGTAGCTTTTGTGCTCCCACATAGATTGGGAGTTCTATTAGATGACTCCCCATATGACTTGGGTTGGGTAGCTTGTAGCTCCCTAATAGTTTGGGAGTTCTTTGTTAGACTCCCCTTTGTATGAGAATAAGCATGCCTATTTATAGGCACCATTGCCGACTTAGCCCTTGTTCACCGACTTGGGCATTTGCTCCAGCCACATGTATGTGGCTTTGCCTAGAAACTTCTCCACAATTCCTTGCTGCATGCTTTTCTTGGTTTTTCTGGAACATTCTTCAAACTTTAGTTGTGTTAGCCAACATTCCTTTTCTTCAAGCTTCTAGATTTTTCTACAAATATGCATTAATTTCAACAACTTACAAGACTTGAAGGGAGGAGCAGAATTAGTGGGGTCAACATGCAAAGATTTCCAATTTTTTTTAAAAAGACTGAACCTATATTAATTAACCATAACAAAACTCACACTAACAACCAAAGAAATAAACTCATACTACTTAATCAAAACAATTAGAAATGTAGAAGTTATTTGTTAGCTTCTTATATGTGGCAGCTGGTATATCTAAAGCTTCCTTTAAGTGTGTTTATAATATAATTTCACAGAGTGGACTTTCATAGATTATTAAAATACATATGTACGTGTATAATACGAGTCTTAAATGTTAAAATGTTAAATTTTTTATATGGGTAATAACTCTGGCAAAATAAACAAATCAAAAGGTACAATAGAGACTCGAGTAATGACCTAATAGTAATGGATAATGTTATAAACTACTCTTATCGATAAAAGAAAATCAGAGAATTTTTTTTATTTTTTTAAAGGATATATATACGGCCATACTATTCTGGGAAAAAAAATAAAGTTACTAGCGTATAGCCGCGCGGCTATACTAATTTTGAAAAAGAAAAATTACCGTGGTATGATAAAGAAAGATGGCATCCAGAAGGATGATAAAGGAACTTCAAATCCGAAATATTGTGTGCAGTAACCAGAACCAGATTTGATCTTAAATGGAGGCTATCTAGATAGATATAGTGTCACTTTCCAAGACAATAACTTGGGGATTAATGTTTTGTTAAATTAGAAAGGTTGCTTTCGAGATGAAGCTTTACTTTTGAAGCCTAAAAAAGAGCTCAAATCGCCTAGACTTGATAAGCATGTAATCATGCATTAACTTCCTAATCTCTGCTGTGTGTTCAAGCCTTACAGTCCACATTATAAATTATGGATCCTTAAGTTTTATTTTCTGGAAGTTTCACATAACATTACTCAACAATTGCAATGGCCAACATAGTCACATTTCTCTGTCTCTACATTCTGTCATCAACTCTGTTGCTATCAAGAATCACCATGGCAAACCCTGGATTGAGCATTCAGCTCATCCACTGCGATTCCCCAGAATCACCCCTCTACCAACCCAACCTCACACAGTCACACAGAACTCAAAAACTCGTTCTCCTATCCAAAGCTCACGCCATGCGCCTAACGAAAGACTTGCATTCCAAGTACATCAATAATTCCAATGCTAATGTTGTGCGTGCAAAAATTGATTATCAAAAAGACTCTATCTACATGGCACAAGTGAGCATAGGCACATTCAGGAGGACACCCCCGATTTCTTACTTCCTTGACGTGGACACGGGGAGTGGCATTATATGGATCCAATGCCAAGAGTGTAGAAATCCAGGACACCACTGCTTTTACCAAAGACAACCCCTTTTCCCCTCTTTGGAATCCCTTTCTTATAAAACTTGTTTGTAATCACCACCGCCTTTGCTTTCCCGGAAGACGCATGGGAAATTTTTGCTCCTACCTTGTGCAGTACGACGATGGTGCTACATCCGAAGGCTACCTTGCATCAGAAACCTTTAATTTCGATTCAAATTCAACTTCTCGAAATGTAGTTTTTAAGTGTGGTATTAATCAGATCAAAATGGACAGTTATGGCACTGGGGGTGGTAATGTTGCTGGCATATTAGGCTTGGGATGGTCATCTCATTCCCTTGTCAACCAATTAGGCCCTATAGCACAAGCCAAGTTCTCAAATTGCCTCCAACCAACGCACAATAACAATCATACACATGACACATATCTTTGATTTGGTACAGACATACAAAGCAGAACAGATTTACCTCAGACGGTCTTGTTACAATATGGTACACTTAATCCTTACTTTGTGATCTTGCAAGACATTAGTATTGCTGGTTCGCGTCTAACAATCCCAGCCAACTACGTCCAAAGGACATCTGGTCGCGTTGGGACTATAATAGACACAGAAACTGCTTATACATTTCTTGTTAGACCAGCCTACGAAATGTTGGAACGAGCACTTGTGAACTACTTCTCCAGGATGGCTAGCGTGTTTCAGATTCATAGACAAAGATTTTTCAATTTGTGCTACCAAAGAACAACAACAAGAGGAGGGTTTAACAATCTTCCAACAATCACATTCCATTTTAGCAACGCGGATCTTGCGGTGCAGCCTCAGGGTGCGTTTTACTTGGGTGATACACATATGAAGCTAATAGAAAGACATTGAATTTTGGCCCTGCAGATTGTGCCCGAAATCCATGAATTTGTGCTCCATTCACATGGCCATAGTTTATCTCAAATGAAGAGCAATACATCTGATTATAAAGGCTATATATATAGTTTCACTTTCTAAGACAAATATAAGTGCCCACGGGAATGTTGATCAATCCAAAAAAATGGCAGAGGACCTGTTGCAGGGTGAACCGTGTAGGAGAAAATTTTCTTTGCAAATCACAAAAGACGACATCTAGAAATTATAATTAAATTAGATTTTCATACTTGTTTTGAACATTATGTGCAATGACCAGATTTTGTGTTTAGAAGGTTTATCTGGAATAGACTTGAGAGTGTAATTAAGACTTAACTATCAAATCTCTGTGTTGTAAATTAAAGACTTATTTTTCCATTAATAAACCATCTTTAAGTTCCTTTTCCCCTGGATGTATACCATCTGACCAGTCTTTAAGTTTCACAAGTAAAAGATAGCTCAACATACATACAATTGGAATTTCCATGGCCAACACGGTCATATTTCTTTGTCTCTTTCTATCAGCAACTCTTTTGCTACCAAGAGTCACCATTGCAAAACAAGGGTTGACCATTAAGCTCATCCACCGCGATTCCCCAGAATCACCCCTCTACTATCAACTCAACCTCACACAAGCACAAAGAACTCAAAATCTAATTCTCCTATCCAAAGCGCATGCCGAATACTTAGGCAAAGGATTGCAGGTCAAGCAGAACGATTCCAACGTTAATATTGTGCGTCCAAATCACCAAATGGGATCTGCTATACTATTTCATTTTAAAAATGGTAAAGCCGAGCGGCTATACTATTTTTTTTTAAAATAGCAAGCGTATAGCCGCGCGGCTATACTATTTTGGAAAATACCCGTGAGTATAGCCGGACGGCTATTCTATTTAGTATTTAAACAAACGAGGACCCCACGTGTCAAAAACATATCGCCACGCGGCTATACTACTAATTAAAAAAAGAAATATCATAGTATAGCCGTGCGGATATACTATTTAAATATATTATATTTAAAAGGTATAGACGCGTGGCTATACCTTTTATTAAATATAAATAAATAAAATGACCCTCCTAGTTGCATTAGTTTATATTTTATAGATATTAATTTGCTAGTTTCAACATATCTAAAGCAGATATTGAAGAGAGAGAAATTTTACAGTAAATCAAACTCGTTCTCTCGAGTGAAAATTGTTGGAGGAACAACAATTAGTATTATTCTAATAATTTAATTAAACGATTAAATTAAACAACAAGTAGAATAATGAAATTAAATATGGTAGTAAATTAAAAACAGACTATTCTTGCAGATAAAGGCTTGCATAATTGCAATGTCCTTGAAATGGAATTTCACCCTTATACAGCGCTTGTAGTTCTGTAGGTGTTTGCTCAACAATGATACAACTATCTAAATCAAAGTCCTAGCACTCGGTCTTTGATTTTTGGCAAAATTAGTGTGTTTATCTTAAGGCTTGTGTTTAAACAGAGTGGTTGATACTTGTTCCAATGGTTATCAGATGAGGTCAAACGCAAACATTCAGATAATTAATTAATTATTCGGGTTTAAGGCGTGTACAGAAAACACGGATGTATTATTTAAAAATAAGTGCATACATGTATAATACGAGTATTAAACATGAAAATGCTAAATTCTTTATATGGGTAATAACTCAAGGAAAGTAAAAAAATCAAAGGGGACAATAGAGATTCAGGTAATGACATAATAGTAATGGATAATGCTCTAAACTACTATTACCGATAAAAGAAAATCGTGAATTTTTATTTTTCTTAAACAGATCCCAGTATATATAAAGAGTATAGCCGCTAGCATATACTATTTATTATATATAAAAATTAAAAGAAATCCCCAAAAAACCCACTTGGCTATACTATTTTTTATTTATTTAAAAAATACCCCAGTATAGCCTAGAGATTAGGCGCCCATGAGTGAAAACAAGTATAGCTGCGTTTTTTTTCTTTTTTTAAAGGATAAATACAGGGAGCTTCAGTTGATGGATGAATCAAATAAGCTTATTTGAGGGATAGCCTTTTAGGGCCAACTTCGTATTGTATTTCACTAATCCAAATAGTTTATTTTGTAGATACTCATTCAAAAATCATCTCTACAAAAAAAATCACTTGAATCCGATATCATTTTACCACTAAATTGAATTATTGAAATTTTAGTATTTTCTTGAAGCACCGTGTTCATTGATTCTGTATGACACAGTTGGATATTCAAATGGCTTCCAATTTGTCTAATTTTTTGCAAGGACGATATATGAATGTAAACTTAAAAAATAGATGGTTTAGATCGTTAAAAAATAAAAAAATAAAAAATCATAGGGGATCCTAAAGGATGTCCCTCAAATAAATTAATTGAGAGATCCATCAATAGAAGGGGACTGAATATGTATATATATAGTATAGCCAGGCGGCTACACTATTTTTGAAAAAAAAAAAAGTTACGAGAGTATAGCTGCGCGACTATGCTATTTATAAATTTTAAAAAAAGCAACAAACGGTTGGAAAACAGGTATACGCACAATCGCTAATTTATAAAAAAAAAAAAAAAAAAAAAAAAAAAAAAAAAAATATAGCCGAACGAGTATAATACTTTTTTTTTAGCTGCGCGGCTATACTTTGTTGAAAAATACTCGTTCAAAAAAGGCCATCCATGTGTCAAAAACAGTATAGCCGGGCGGCTGTACTTAAAATATATATATATATATATATACCGTGGTATAGCCGTACAGCTATATGTTTTATTTATAATAAAAATTCAAAACTACACTCCTAGCTGCATTAGTTTATACTTTATTGATATTGAATTGGCCAGTTTCAACATATTCAAAGCAAATATTAAAGATAGAGAAATTCACGGTAAATCAATTTGAGAATTCAATATTTTTTTCTACTTTTTTTGTGGGAATGTTTCAAAGCCTTTGATCTAAAAGTAATTCAAATAAACAATAACTTAATTACCTAATCGAGTTTAATTTAAATCAGATAGCCCAAGATGTGTACAAAAAACGGATATGTTATTAAAAAAATACGTTCATATGCATATAATACGAGTATTAAATGTTAAAATGCTAAAAAAATTTATATCGATAAAACTCTATCAAAGTAAACAAGTTAAAAGGGACAATAGAGACTCAAGTAATGGCTCAATAATAATTGATAAGGTCATAAACTACTCTTATCAATAAAGGAAAATCAGGGAGATTTTTTATTTTTTACTTTTTTTAAATTAAAAAAAAAAGGAAAATCGGCTATATTTAGAGTATAGCCGTGCAGCTATACAAAAAGGCAAGGGTAGACTTCTTCTCCTCCTTCTACGATTCTGAACTCTGAAACCGAGTGAAAGAACCCGGTTTAAAAGGAGTCCTCTAGCCTGACGCCGTCGTGTTTTTTTTCTAAACCAGCGGCTATACTATTTTGGAAAAGCACCAGATCAAGAAAGGCCACCCACGTGTCAGAAACAGTATAGCCGTGCGGCTGCACTATTTAAAACAAAAAAAGAAATACTGTAGTATAGCCGCGCGGCTATACCTTTCATTTATTTATTTATTTAAATCGAAGGGGACAATAGAGGCTCAAGTAATTGTCTAGTAGCAATTGATAAGGCCATAAACTACTCTTATCGATAAAGGAAAATCAGAAAGATTTTTTATTTTTTATTTTTAAAAAGGATATAAGTCGTCCGGCTATACTATTTTGAAAAAAACAAAATTACTAACGTAGAGCCGTGCGGCTATAATATTTATAAATTAAAAAATCGGGACCCGCCTAGCGACTGGCGGCCACATGCTAATTTTTTCCTTTTAAAAAAACATGCCCAGGTATAGCCGGACGGCTACAATATTTTGGGAAAAAGTACCCGATCAAGGTGTAGCCGTGCGGCGGTACTATTTTCCCTAGCCACCTACCTCTTTTTTTTTGGTTCTCCCCCCCCCCCCCCCCCCCCCCCCCCCCCCCCCCTCTTCTTCCTCCCCCCCCCCCCCAAAAGTACCCTCCTAGTCAGTAAATCAATTTGAGAATTCAATATTTTATTCCTTTTTTTTCGGGGGGGGAATGTTTCAGAGGCTTTGTTCTAAAAAGAAACGATTAATTAATTACCTAATCGGGTTTAATAGAGTCACCCCTCGACCCTTCTACCAACCTGACCTCACACAAGCGCAGATAACTCAAAAACTCATTGTCCTATTCAAATCTCTCATCAAACGCTTAAGAAATGAATGACTGCAGGCCAATTTTAATTCTTGTTCGTGCAAACGTTGATTATCAAAAGGGCTCTGCATTCATGGCACAAGTGAGTCTAGGCGCATTCATGGCACAAGTGAGTCAAGGATTTAACAATCTTCCAACAATCACATTCCATCTGAGTGGTGCTGATCTTCTGCTGCAGCCTCAAGCTGCGTTTTATGTGGATACAAGCGATGAACCCTCCAAGCGAGAGTACTTTTGCTTGGCAATGTCTTCAGAAAGTGATGAGACAGTCATAGGTGCATACCAGCTAACACATCACCGTTTCCATATATGATCTCAACCAAAAGACATTGCGTTTTGGCCCTGAAGATTGCAGCCGCTTTCCATGAATTTTGTAGTGTCTGTTTCTAACTAGCTAGCTAGAAAGTGCTAGCTAACTCATAAAATAAGTTGTAGTTTTTCATTTAGGATCTTTTGCTAATCTTGTACATATGTCTGCATTAAATTAATAAAAAATAATCTAAATCCAAAGAGTGTGACAGTTCTTTTTTTTCTTTTGTTTTTTATGATAATGGTATAACAATTAATTTGGCCAAAACTTTGAATAAGAAAATAAAGAGTCAAACACAGCCGAAAAACACATACACAGTTTCGGTGGCACAACTGTAGAAGCATGTACGATGTATGGTAAAGAAGGCAAGCACGATCGTTTTCTCTCTTCCACGGAAAAATCGAGATTCATGTGTTTAATTCAAAGGATCGAATAGTTCAGACGTAATATTTGCTCGTTATTTATATTGAATTTCTCAATTTCTCAATTCCTCTGAAAATCTCTGTTAACCCCCAAATGGCTACTCTTAACATAATCGCAGCTCATAAGCTCCCTTCACCAGCAAGCTCCTCTTTCGCTGCTCAATCTCAGAAACCCAACTTTCTTTCACTCTTCTGTACGCAAACCTTCAGCAAGCCCGACCCATCAAGGCTATTGGGCTTCCCGACCCGGAAAAAACGAAACTCGACTGTTGGGTCGGTCACAGAGGACAGAGAGGTGGTTCCATTGAAGGAAAAACATGCAGAGGACCAAGATAGCAGCTTATTGGTTAATGGGTCTGAAGAATTTGAGGCTGTTTCATCATCATCAGCTTATTCTGAAGGCAGAGGAGAGGGGGATGATTTGGATAAGCTGACCAGTAGAGCTATTAATGCCTTAATTGTTCTGGGATTTGGGACCTTTGCGGTCTCTAAGTTGCTCACGATTGACCATGATTATTGGCATGTACGTGATCTCATACATATATTAGTTTCTGTTCTTTGTTTATTACGATTTTTTTTTAAAATTTATGGTAGTGGTTCTGTACGTCTGATTTCATGGGTTTTGATGCTCAAAAAGCTGCAGAATTTATGTCTAAGCTATACTCGGCCAAGTTTATTTTCCTTTTGTACTTTGAGCTTTGAGATGGGTATGTCTTTATTTGTTGATGATTAGCTTGAAGTTCTCATCTTTCTTTCTGGAATTAGTTGATCATTAATAATAATACTTAACCTATACTCGGTTAAGTTTCTGCTTGATTTGGAACTTCTTTTAGTAGAATGATGAGCTGAACCAAAACTGAGTTCTTTCCTCCTTATTGAATGAGAATATTTTGCATGTCAAAGCTAATTTTTGAGGCATGTTTCAGGGGTGGACCCTTTATGAGATACTAAGATATGTACCTGAACATAATTGGATTGCATATGAACAAGCTCTCAAAGCAAATCCTGTTTTAGCCAAAATGATGATAAGTGGGGTTGTCTATACTCTAGGAGATTGGATTGCCCAGGTAGGTCTATCTTCCAACTACATTAGATAAAGTTCATCTCACCTCAGTCATGACTTCTTTTTGTTGTTTCTAAGTTGTTCCCATTGTATATGCAGTGTTATGAAGGGAAGCCTCTTCTCGAATTTGACCGGAAACGCATGTTCAGATCAGGCCTTGTTGGGTTTACTTTCCACGGATCCCTTTCTCATTATTACTACCAATTTGTGAGGTGATGATTCTGGTGCTTATCTCTGGCTTGTTTGATTGATTTCTATGAATGGCTGAAATATTGACTACGGTTTCCAGGCTCTTTTTCCTTTGGAGGATTGGTGGGTGGTCCCTGCTAAAATAGCCTTTGACCAAACAGTGTGGGCGGCAATTTGGAACAGCATCTATTTTGTGGTTTTGGGGTTCTTGCGTTTAGAGTCCCCAACCAAGATTTTTGATGAACTGAAGGCTACATTTTGGCCTATGCTGACAGTAAGAAACTCTTCTAAATCTTTATTATCAGTTTTAAATGTCTTTTATTGTTTTTGTTATCTAATTTTGATTATTCTGACTGGATTACAAGAGTGTCTTTTGAATCAGATAGAGTTAGATTTCTGTAAAAACAGTTGAGGTTATGTTAGTGTTGACCTTATATCTGATTCAAACCCAGTTATCATAGCTTGTTTTGTTTCTATGCTGCTGAGTTTATTAATAAATATAACAGTAACAGACATACAAAACTTCAATATGCCAGTAAAGTACAGAAAAGGAGGTTTGAAGTTTGAGCTAATGTGGTCTACTGAAAGTAGGAATTGTTTCTTTCACTTGTACTCATATGGTCATACCAGCAGAGCTTAACATGATACCTGAAAAGGCATATATGAGGATCAAGGGGGGAAATGAAAAAAGTGAATATCATTTTTCAGATTATAATGTACATTAGGAGGCTAGCAATTAAAATCATAGTAGCAATTCTTATAATTCTGATATTTTATCGAAATGCTTGTTACGGTTTAAGTTTTTAGCCAATATAGGTTAGTTGGTGTATTTTAAATTTTGAACTACTTATATCTGTGACTGGCATGACAGGCAGGATGGAAACTCTGGCCATTTGCTCATCTGGTTACCTATGGGCTGATCCCTGTTGAACAAAGGCTTCTTTGGGTGGACTGCGTGGAGCTTATTTGGGTTACTATTCTCTCAACGTAAGCCTCTGATCTTAGTTTCTTTTATATGGCAAGAATTTCTGTGTACCCCTCCCCTGGTAGAGTAGACGGTCATTTTTTTAATGCCTCCTTTTTGTTCTTATCTTTTTAGATGCTTATTACACATGATAAGGTTGCAAAGTATTAATGTAGAGGTGTCTTAATCTTCTCTCACTGTTGGAAATTTTCTCTGTATAGTTATTCAAATGAGAAGTCAGAGTCCAGTATATCTGAGGCATCATCTGGAGCAGATTCTGCATCTTCGTCAAGCAGTTCTCCTAAGGTATGCCATGTTAGCACCGTTACCGTAGAGCCTATTTGAGAATTTCAATACATGTTCCAAGATGCCTAAGGGTAACCCGCTGAATTTTGGGTCCAATGAAAAGTAAATAAAACTAATAAATTCATAATTCTGTTATTTTGTTGTAAGCAGGACTAAATTATTTGGAAAACATGGTACTGAGAGGCGGTTTTCTACCTTCAACACTGTAACCACCATTTCTGCTCTATAAGTTTTTTGAAGCCAAACACTCAATACATAGAAAGGGGAGATAATCATTCATTGGCTGTGCAGACCACCATCTAATCGGAAGCGGAATGAGTTAAGTAAGCTTCTAATGGAAGGCGGGAATTTCTTGGTTGCCCTGACCAAACGTATACGTTACAAAGAATTCTAGCATCGTATGTGTTCTATATTTATTCTCAAATTGAATACGATCTTCAGGATGGTTTTAGTTGTGTATAATTATCGGAATAGCTGCTGCAACTCTTGTTACAGCTTTGTAGAGACTGTATACTTGTACTTGATACAGCTTTGTAACTAGTTGATCTAATCTTGTTTGAAGTATGATATAAGTCAAAATCATTTGGAGCCACCTTTGTTTGTTCTGATGTAACAAATATGTGGCATTGTTTTATAATGAGTTTTTTAATTGGATTTTTCTTCCATATACGTGAATCAGCCCAATTGACCAGGACGACAACATTGCTTCGCCCAAGTACACTCGAGTTTGGTTCAATCCATTATGATCCATCACCCTATATATTTTATTAAAAAATTTATGTGTACATAATCCTTGAAAGCCCATATACTTAGTCATAATTTAAAAAAAGGCCCATTTACTTTGTTGCATATCACATGTATGGCACGTGACCTCAGAACAATTCCAAAGCGCGCGGGATTCAACGGCCGATAACCAACGTCCTCAGGCTGGAAATTTCAGGAAACTACACATCGAGCCCCAGATCTGAAATATCTGTTGCACCTGGATCCTGGAACCCCCTTTAGATCCAAAACCACCTGCAACTGGGCTTCAAACAACAATGGCGAAAGTGGAAGAAGTGCACCAAGATTCAAATGGCAACAACATCGTAAAGCAGAAAAAGAAGAGGAACCATGGCTCAACCGAGTTCTTCGTCTTCGTGGATTACGTTTTCCTCTCGATCTTCTTTGCGTTCCTCTGCTTCATCATCTTCAAGATTGTACTCGGCACCACATCCGATTCCTTGTCACTCTAGAGACTGACATTCTTTTCAATCAGGTTGACCCTCCACCTCCCTCTTCTCCATTTCCTTGATGGGGTTTTTTTTTTTGTTTTTTTTAAATGCAATTGATGTAATGTTCTTTGTTGATTTTTGTGGGTCCAATCAGTTTTTTCCTTGATTTGGGTTTGAAATTTTTTCTGATAATCAATTGAGTGAGAAGCTAATACATAGCTTAATTATGCTACATGTATATTTTTTTTAATAGACTTGTGCTACATGTATATGAATATATGGATTAGGCTCTTTGTGTATTAAGAATTTGTATTTCAATGGAATATTATTGTTTTAGATTTCTGTAGAGGAATGAGTAGGTCCTTGAATTGAATGCATGGGACAATGAAGGTTAGCCAACCCTAAAATGAATTTGTGGTGGTAGTGAGTTTATTGCGGGTAGATGTATTGAGGTTATATGCACATGTTGCTATGAATCCAAGTAAATATTGAAATTGACAGTTCTTAGATTTCCTGAAGACACAGAAATTCAGATTGATAGATTCATGTGAGCTATTCAAATAGAGGAGCTGGCCCTACAGACCAGTTCTTTCTACTGGTCGCTTCGCTTCCCTCATTACATTGCTAGGATTACAATTAACTTCCAGGAAATTGCAACCAATAAATTAATCAATGTTTTCAGTCAATTGGATTGTTGCTATATCTTAACCGGTGTTTGTTTTGCTTCTGAATTTCCAGTAGAATGTTGTCGAAAATTCGTAACGTGCAATCAATAAAATTAACATTGCTTATGGTGCTAACTTAAAGTATGTGAAGGTTTCAGTTTAGGAGTTCATAATATTTTAGACATCTTGAGGTGACTCATTCCGGAGAGAGCATGAGTTTTTACCTGTGTCTACAAGTTGTTCATGTCTTTGCAGCTCTTTTCTTTAATGACAAATCTGGGATTATGTGACAGGTACAAGTGCAAGCTTGAAGGCCTAACAGGGCATTGACTTGGTCAGATTCAGATTCTGCGATCTCAAATTCGTGACGTTTTCTTGGTATTGAAAAATCATGTGCCCTTTTGATCAAATGTGATTTAGAAACAATTGCTTTTTATGGCCTGTAATTCTGGGTAATATGAATGTTAATCTCTACGAATTGGTATCATGTACTATTCATATATGAATGTTATGCCTTTCTTTTTCTTCTTCAGATCAGGATGGTGTATGTCAATTGCTTTCATGCCAAGTTGAACTTAAGAAGTGGGGCGTATATAATCTTCATTGATGGCATACCTAACCATCCATGAATTAATTTGATGCAATTTTGCAAGCTTAGACTTTATTGAGAAACCTTGATATCGACTAATAGCATTGTAATGCCCGACAAATTAATAGGCAAATAGCAAACCTGAAATCAATCAAACAGCCCATTCGAATTAATGTCGTTTTTGTTTTAAGATTAGGTCTAGTTGCTTCTTCTATCAGGTCCACCTTTATATGTCTACACCTGACACCTGCTATGTAAAATGAAACTGAAGATGCAGATGCAGAGCACACACAAAACATGGCTAAAGAGTGCACAGAAAAGCAATTACTGAAATAAACGCTACTGATACTTCACTGATTCTAATTAAACAACGAAAGCACTTTAACAAAAGCTGCTTTATTTCAAAGCCAAAAAGCACAGCCCTGGTCTCTCACTGCAATGCCAAGTGAGATACACACCCATCTAGCTCTCTTAGCCCAAACAAAACCAAAGACAGAAGAACAGAAATACATAAATCTAGCACACTAGCTAGTTGAATGATACAGATCATGATCTAGCATACTTATTCAAAGCTCCTCATGCTCAAACAAATTCAGGGACTCAATGGGGTTGGTGGGGTACCAGCACCATTGCCAGGGTTTGGAACCTCATAACCAGGGTTTGGGACGAATGTATCGTCGCCACCGGGAACATAGTCATGACCAGTACTTGGCGCTCCTCCACTTCCACTTCCACCGGTGCTGCCGGTGCTGCCGTTGTCGGGGAATGGAGTCTGAGGTACAACATTATGCAGTGGTGGGAATATCACACGCCCAATGCCTGGAATGAGATAGCTGCCATCATGGCCAATAAACCACTCAGGTTGTTTCTTGTCATCTTTGGTTGGGACACTTCGTCCTGCAACTGCTTGCCCTGTTATTGCAAGAAGGACAACAAGAAGGGAGATGAGAGGCAGAAATGAAGAACGGGTTTTGTCAGCCATTATCAGAGAAAACGGAGAGAGAGAGAGAGAGAGAGAGAGAGAGAGAGAGAGGAGAGAGAGAGAGAGAGAGAGAGAGCAGGAGAGGAGAAGATAGCTCTTGCTGAAGTTGGTTTGGTGATGGAGAATGTAGGAAAAGAAGGGCTCTTCTTATAGTTGAGGATTTTTATCAAGTTGGGTGAACATTTGGCGGTGAGTTAAGAGACTGTGCGCCTCTAGAAGCCATGGATAGACAGAGAAGAGATATCCAAATGCATACGTGCATGGAGAGAGAGGCAAAAAAACAAGAGAGTGATGAGTTGGTTTCTTCTAGTTCGATAATTTTGATGCACTTGAAGGATAAAAAAGACAGTGGGGTCTTGTCTTGGCGTGTACTTCATATCTATTAAAATCTACCTATATGCACTAGCAACTCTTGCGGCCATTAATGCAGGCATTATATGCTCTACTGGTTTGTTCGATGTGCGGCTGTGTCAGCACATTCCTCTGTGAATGTGAATGAAAGTAGTTCACTATTAATTTCTGGTGTTTTTTTTCTGGGCCTTCATCTTCTTTACTATTTGGTCACCTAAGCTCTTGTGGAGAAGATCTTATTGTGAATGCTAATTATTTTACTGCTGCCAACTTTAAAGGAAGTGCACTTCCAGCTATAAAGGTGCCTGCAATGTAGATTCTCAAATTTATGGCTTCATTCCATATTTTGCACGAGTACTTTTTTCTTATTTGCTTTCTGGTTTGGAACAAGTTATTTAATATGGGTTCCACATTCCAATTTCCACTGCCTTATTGTTCACCTGCCATTTTATTGGCTCTCGTTGTTTCTCGTTTTTTTGTTTTTTGTTTTTCTTACCACTTAAATCCACAGAGTTAAAGCCATCCATTTAGAGAGAGGAAAAAAATGTGTTTCTGGTACCAGTAGTTTTCCTTTACCAATTATCCATCTTCAGCCCACCGAATACCGCTGGATATAGTTTGGGAGCTTCAATGAGGGGTTTCAATCCAGCAGTCCAATAATAACTTTACATTAAAAAAACCCCTCCATGATAAACCCTCGTTCGAGCCTCCCTAATATAGTTCAAGCTAACTCTTGTTCACAATTAACTTCACATTGTCTGAAAATTGTTTCGTCTAACCTACAATTATATAGCTTCATTCTGGATGCGTATCTTGTTCTAGGCAGCAACAGCTTTAGTAGACTATTCAACTTGGTAAAGCGTCGGGTGTGACTAAATTGGAGCTTGACTAAACAATGTACATAAAACTTAGAAAGACAGCTAAATTGCCTCAGTTACCTGAAGAGAATTGTTCCGTGATTTTTTTCCTCCAACAAAATGCTGAGGAAATGGCAATCCAGAAAGATTATCTTTCGTTTGGATTTTAAAGAGGCAAAAAAATATCCCATAGTACAACAAACGCTAGCCCATTTCATTTATACTTGAATCACAAAATCTAATGCCTTTCCTCTGAAAATCTTGGAAGTTGAACAAGGGAGTTCACACGCGTGACACCTTCCAAACCTGACCAGTTCTGGTCTTCAGCTGCCATTGTTTCTTCATTCCCTTCAATCTCAACCGGTAGTCGTCCATAAGTATCACTTTCATCAGATGATCTTACTGTGAAATTCCTCTGCAGAGATGGCTCTGACTTCTGGCCATCATCTGATTCAACTGCATTTCCGGAGTGATTGCTCTGAAGTGTTGCAGATGAAAAGCCTTGTTCCTCATAATCAGATTCAGAGTCCATTTTCCCATCCAAAAACAAACAAACGACTGCACAGTCATCCATCTTTGAAGTCGGGTATTTGAGTTTCCATTCACGAGCAGCTGAGTCAACCACAATCCTTGCTGCTGATGCCCGGCTCGGGGATGAGGACACTATCTCAACAACCTCTTCATTGCTTAAGACATCCCAAACCTGTAACATTTACAAGTTCAAATTCTTTAACATCTAATACCTCTTTACGCTTTCTTACAACTCGCAGAGCCTAAAAGTAAAGGCAACAAGGTTATAAGTTATAATATTTTTCGGGTTCCCCATCGAAGTTTCCCTAAAGAGAGACCCATTCATCTCTAAGAAAAATCATATTCTCTGAAAGAATGTAACAAATTTGCATGTAAAAGACCCAGTTCTACTTCTTATGGACATTTCACAAATATAATAAAAAGAAAAGAGGGAAAAAAAATTTAATGGAGGAATTCAACAAAACATAAACATACATATCACTATATCCTAAAAAATTCATGGAGTTAAAAACTGCTGACTGGAAAAATTTGAGTGATTCAATATATCAATAGCCAAGTGCCACCACTAGCTATGCAGCAGTCATTGAAATGTCAATCATGCTATCTCTTGTTTGCCTGGGTTTCTGTATAACTCTGAGGGGCTTAGAGTTCCCATTGGACCAACAGAGAAACAGGACATTAATAAGCAGAGCAAACTTCCCATTTTCATGGCCTGCTTGTGTGGAAGGTATAGGAGACAATGCAGCCCTCATTTAACTATAAAGTATACATTCAAGTAGCCAGATCATGCCAGATATTAGCACTCGTTTGTCACTGATGTTTTATGAATCCAGATGCTCAGGACTTTCTTACTGGTATTTACATCTCATGAGATCTATCGTCTATTCCACTATCATGTTTGGTGATTATAATGTGACCAAATTGTTTGTAGTTCGATCACTTCATAGTTGGTTCCTGGTTGTTGTATGATTATTATGTTACTTTTTTAAGTAATTTACTTTGCAGTTTATAAGACACAGTCCATACGGGATCAGCTAATAAAAAAATGAGGTTTTCAAAGCTGAAAGTTTTACCCCATCTGAGGCAAGAACGATGAACTGATCTCTCTCAGTAAGTATCCGGTGTGAGAACTCTGGTATAGAGATCACTCCATAATCCTTTAAACAGAAATCACCAAAGGCTCGAGCCATTGCTAACCCAGGGGCATCATCAAACGGCAACCATACTCGAGACACTTCAGGCTCATCTTGCAAAGCAAATACCCTACCCTTGCACCGTTTAATTCTTTCAGCTTCCCCTATGACATTTACAAAGCATCAACCAAGTAAGGTTCATACAACAAGCAGGCAGCCAAAACATTGTTGAAAAAACGATAATAACATCACTCATACTTGGCAGATCAGGCTTTAAATCAACAGTTAATTGGATTGCCACCATGGAATCACTACTGTCCTTTGATCCCAGGATTGCTCGGGAATCCCCAATATAACCCATGAAAAGATTTGACCCCTGTAAAGAGGATCAATAAATAACAAAGCAAACTAAATGGAAAATAAAGAAGAGCATAGAAGGTGCTTGCTGCCGTACCTGTTTGACTAGAGTGACAGCAGTGCTACCACTGCAGAAGCAGTCCAAATTAGGATGGGACCTCAGCTCCTTGTCCATGGCCTTGTATGACTTCAGGAAAGCCTCTCTCCATGTTACATTTAATTTTTCCTCAGCTGAAGCATCCTTCTCAGAATCTCCACCATCTGATCTCTTTAGGTTCCCTTTGAAACATGTTTTACTGGACCCATTTAACCTTGATTGATAAGAATGCAAAAAGGATAGCAGCTTTACTGGCAATGCATCCCTCACTTTGCGTGCAACAAGATGACCATGTGGACCATGGCCATCAAACACGCCACAAAATATCGCATCTTCTGACATGAAATCCTTCAAATGAAAATAAAATCAAGAGTTCAGAAATTAACCTACCAACATGTTCAAATATTATTCCCACTGTGCAGAAGAAACTTACTTCCCACACAACCATAGCATCCTGGTTTATGCCTTTGCGACCTTGCTGTGTGAATATGCAAGAAGCTCGGCTCTTTCCATTAGTAAAAATGCGGTTGGGAATGGAGTGTAAATTCTGGAGAGTATATACATGGTCTGAGAATGTCTTCTTCGTTCTCTTTTGCCCACAAAATCCAATCCCCAAGAACGAGTGAGCAACTGTCTCTCCATTGCTCCTGCTACTACGAGTACTCCGACTACTAGTCGAAACGCAAGCCCCCATCTGCTCAGCTCCACAAAGAAGACATCTGACGTAGTAAAGGATAAAATTCCTCCTTTTGCCAAACAGAGCTCACATGAAATTCTGAGTTTGCTCAAATGGTCAACCGAGCAATAGACTATCCAAATACCAAAGATTCCAACACATCAAACCACAGGCCACTTTACAAGTCCATATAGAAAAATGAGGTCATTTTATCTTGGTCAAATGTATTCCGTGGTTCGATAGCAAAACCAGCTGAGGAAAACGAGAAGACATTAGTTAATGAATTGTTTAGTCTTTGGTTACACAGAAAGCAAAAATGGCTGCATGTAAAGAAGCTGAAATGCATTAGAAAAACAATTCCATGTGAACAAGGAATAGAATATACTTAAAAAGGCTGTCCTGATCCTTTGCCCTTCATGAGGACTCACAGTGATACAAACCAAGTGGTAAGATTTTCAGCAATTCGAGTCACATAAAGACCTTACAAAATAGAAGCCAATGGAGACAGAAAAAAACAGAAAATCTGCCCTGTATTCAGTGACTGCGAGATTCAGACCCAAAAAATCAAGGGGATTAACTATGAATTTCTCATTGTCTTTTCCTCCTATGCCGAACCCACCATCATTCAATCATTTACGAAAAATAAATACATGTCACCTAAAACCCATGTAATTCTTAATAAAGCAAAACAAAACAAAACTACGGCGAAAGGAATTTCCAAAGACACAGCCCAACAAGTAGCGCAAAGAGATGCAAAAACGAGAACAAGAATGAGACTTTCCAAAATCTTGCCTTCTCCTCAGCTTAACTAGAAACCAGTAGCACGAACAAAACAAACTCAGAGAAACCCAATTTTGATTAGGTTGCTCACAAAGACACGGTACAGGAATCTTAAGAAACCCAGAAAGACATACTCTTGACAGCTTGGAATGTTATGTAGAATATTTTTCTTCCTTTTTTTTTATCCGCTTTCACAGTAACCAAACAGATCATAGAGTTCGGTCAACGAACTGTTTCGGAGAGAGAGAGAGAAAGACGGAGGGTAAAAAGCAATAATGAAATTTGTACGAAACTGTTGCTTTCCCACTAGAGAGAAATCCGAGAAGAGATAAAGCAAATCGGAAAAGCAGGAAAAAGACGAAAGGAATGATTTTTTTTTGGTCAAAAACATAATCATGTAAAAATTACGTATTTATCATACAAAGAAAAAAAAAGTATAAACAGGATTAAACCATGTTTGGTTACTGAGAAAACGCCAAAGAAAGACTACAACTTTTGAGCAGAAAAGATCTCTAAAATATTACAGGATCATCAAAAAGAGCAAACAAAAAGTAAAAAACAAATAACAAACAATCATCAAATTTTCTGTTAAGTTGCTAGAAAAATGCAGGAAAAGAGAATGATTTTAGTTAAACTAGAAATCTGAAAACTTTTTTGAGTGAGACCTGAGTAGACAGAGACATTAACTTGACTGAGCCTGCTACACCAGGCTAGTTAAGCTGAAATTTTCAATCTTTACAAAGAAAAGCGGCAGAAAACATGAAATGTAGGATGTTTAACTCTCTCTCTCTCTCTCTGAGTTTTCCCAGCTACCCAACTGAACTCCAAACTCAAAAGATAAAGTAAAAGATTAGTGTGTGGAGAGATAGAGAAGTTGTACACACAGATCTTCCATTGCTCTGTGTTTGTAACTCTAAATCACTAGTAAGTTCAACTCAAATCAAGAGTGCAACAATCCAAGAGTTCAATAGATAAAGAAAAAGAAAGAAAACACAAACAAAGAAGAGCATCATTGATCAAAGAACTTAGTACTGTAACAAACAAAGCACTAAAAATTGGAGCAAAAGTAGAAACTTTAAGAAAAGGGTATGAAGTGTTCATTGAGTACATAGGATCCATTACCTTCTTCTGCAATTTTCTATGGCAAGATTTGAGCTTTGGGATCAGAGTGAAGGAAACAGAAGAGGGCAGAAAGAGAGATATTAATATGGTGGAGGGGAGGGAGGGTGGTGCATTAATTGCAAAAGCAGGGCAGGACAGAGTAGAAACTAGAGAGAGAGAGAGAGAGCAGTTACTGTGGAGTAGCCGTGCACCTCCCGGTTGAAAAAATGATTGAAAAATCAATCTCATGATGCAACTTACACTGTTCATTACACTCAACTTATGGCGCGTCCAATCCTCATCCCATTTTCTTTCCCTTTCTTTCCTTTTCTTCTCATTTTCCTACCTAAAGATCGAAATTACATTTCTAGACTGTTTGTCACTTCAATTGGACCAGGTCCTAGTATGCGTTTAGGAACATGTTTCTTTCCCTTTCATATATTCATTGTTCCTGAGTTGTGTTATAACTAATTGCTCGTTTAGGTAATCATACGACACTCATAATGTATCAAATGTTATAAATCACGCATACGCATATTTGATTTGCTAATAAGTTATTTTTTGAACATGAAAGATAGAATAAATTATTTTAAATTAATCTAATTTAAATTTAAAATGAGAATGATTCGAACTTTAATGCAAAAGAATGAACTTACTATTTTAGCCAACTAAACTAATCCCGGTTGCTAAAAATAAGTCCTCGTTGTTTAGTATTGTATTGTCATTCAGGCTCATATGCACTACTTACCAACAGTAGGGGGAAAAAAGAAAGAAAAAAAAACAGAATTACATGACTTACTGACCATCATTTTGGAGTGAAGATGAAGAGTGAAAACTTGAAACCAGAAACTGGTGCCGCTCGAAATTAAAAGACAGAAAAGCACGCCAAACTGACACAAACTCGGGACACGTGACGTGGCTGAATGTCCCGCCCTCAACTCAAAGTAAACAAAAAGTTGACAACTTGCCAACTCTCCTCTCCTCTCCTCTCCTGCTCCGATCCGTGTTAGCTTTGCTGTCGACCTTCTTTTTCCTTTATTTATTTTCTCTTTATTTTTATCTCTTTTTATAAAAGATCAATGGTATGATTTAAATGGGAGGGAGGGAAGAGATGGGCCTAGGCAATGGCAAATTGGCAAATATGAAAGCAACCCAACTAAAAAACTTTTAAAAGGGTGACAGTCTGACAGATTACTTGAAAGCTTTTTAGGGTTCTCCTAAACCCAAATCATGGCATGAGATTAGGCTTTCTACCAAACTTGTCCATTACTTAAACTCCTTATACAGTTGTCTCAATATGATGCTGAAGATAGGATAAGCATAATTTTTGAAAATGATGGTACCTAAACCATTATTGTGAGTTTGTGACCCACTTAAGGTGTTGATTTACGGTTCTTAATTTTATGTATGATTAAATGAACTTTTATCACGCATAAAATCTTCGCTTAGGTTTTGAATTCAATCCTTATTAACGGTAAAACTTGCATATAACATATTCCATACAGACCTTGCAGTTACATGTGTCAATATGCAAGTTGCAAGGCAAGCATTGAAGAGAAATGTGAGAGAGAGAGAGAGAGAGAGACCCTCTGGATTTGTGAGTCTGTGACCCAACCAAATTTTGTGCCCCTTAATTGTGAAGAGCTGGAACTGCTCTAGACCTAGATCATGTGGGACTGAAAAAGGACTAAAGGGCAACCCAGCTCAAAAGTAATTGGCCTTTTTTTCTCATTTATTTTCATTTTCTGTACAAAAATAATATCAAAATGTACTGATATACATTTTCATATACCGTTTGTGTAATGTTCAGTCGTAAATACCTCTACATGTTTTTCAAAAATGTACCACCACATATTTAAGAAAATTATCATAAAATTTTGTTTTCTTTGATAAATGATAGGAACACGTTACATTCACATGGGACATGACTGAATTCACACTCCAGCTTTATTCTGAAAATCAGGTCATGTCTCTAAATTCAAAAGATTTTTTTTCTTTTTTTTCTTTTTTTTCTTTTTTTCTTTTCTGATAATCTATATTCAGAAGGTATTGACCAATCAACATGGGTTTACATTTGTTTCTGTATCAAAAATACGAAAATAATATTGATGAAAATGTTGAATGAATATAGGTTTATAATTTAATTTATTTTCTTAAATTAAAAGAACTCCCTCCTGTTTCATGGTTCTGTTTGTTTTGCCTTGGGGTTGTTTTGAGGGTTGTTGGTTTATGCTTGCAGTTTGGTGGTGTTTATGTTTTTCTGGGGTTTTTGCTGCCGTGTTGTTGTGTTGTTTTTGTCAATTTTAATTTTGTTTATCTATTGATATTATCATTTGGGGCAGTCTGTTGCTCATGTTTATCTGATATTGCGAATTAGATTTGTGCTTTCTAACTAGATTGCTTAGATTGTTGTATTTGTGCCATTCGCTTTTGGGTGAGTTTTCGTAATGAAATTTCATCCTTCAAAAAAAAAAAAAGTCATGGATATGTTCAAACTTTTTATGCTTTCCTTTAGCCTTTTTGCTATATTTGTTTATTTGGGAAATCCAATGCATCAGTCCAAATTGAAATTGAATCCATTTTCTTTTCCCTTCTTCCTGTTGTTTCATAATTTATCAGAATTAGAAAGAATTAAAATATATTTATTTATGTATACTTTCCACAAACTTTCAAGTCATGGCTTTACTGCTGCTCTTTATCTTTACAACAAATATCCTAAAAACAATTCTAAATGACAACTTTGTTATGTTCTACCTGTCTACTGAATTTTATTGTCCACACATAATTATTTTTTTAATGACAAATGATTATTTAGTCATGATTAAGGATCATAACCATACGGAATGACCATACAAAATATTATAATAATTCTCATTTGATGCTCTAATTGGTAATTACCACCCTTAATATTCATTTACACACAATTCCTTCGGATTCTTTTTATGTTTTCAAAATGGAATTTAATGACAAAAAAAAGGAAGAGAAATATATATATATATATATTTATATGGAATTTTACATTGATTACTTTGTATTTTTAGTCAAAAAGTTGGGGACACCTTCCTTTTTAAATGTATGGATGGGTACAAGATAGAATGATGAAAAGGGGGAGCACAAATGTTACCCTTGGCTTCTTTATGAAGTAACAAGTATGTACCCCAAAACCTTTTTGCACCCAAATTATATTTTTTTAAAAATAAAGATAAAAACTGAGTGGGGTTCATATATGATATGCAAACTATACCATATAAAAATATATTGGAACTAAACCCGAGGTTGAGTTGTAAATAAAGTTGAAAAGTAAAATTAGGCAAGCACTGCCAGTGAAATGAATCATTTGAGGAACAAAACAGGGGCTGTAATTTCCCTTTTGTGCTATGAGAGTAGAATGCTGTTCTCTAAAAAGCTTTTTCTTGGACTGAGGGATTTAGGCCTCGTTTGGTGGGTAGGATAAGTAGTAGAATTGGATTAGCTTAATCCAATACCATATTCGATGCTAAAAATTGAATGTAGATAGGATAAATGATAACTCTACCGTAATTATATTATGTGCATTTTTGTATGATAATTTATCTTACAAAAAAAGTGGGATACATAATCCCACTACTCCAACCTCTTTGATCTTGAACCCAAGATGCGGGAGCCATAATACAAACTCGGGACAATAGTGCCAATAAAAGATATTTATCATTTCCAATTATACCTCCCAATCCAATCCAATCCAATCCAATCCAATCTTAGTCACTAAACATGACCTTAGAGATGAATTTGAATTTGGATTTGGAGAACTTGTATTTGAATATAAATGTGTATATATATTTTTTCATATAAACTAAACAATAAGCACAGTTTACCAGCAAATGGGGAGGCATACCAGACTAGCTATGAGAACAAAGGATTTGAATATCATGTTGTGTAATAGGAGAAAAGTAACCATCCAAGTTCCTGAACAAAGCTACCATAGCAGTCTGAATAAACAAGGACAGCATGGACAGAGTTGGCAGACCACCAGCTCAAACAAAGGAATCTGGATTTGGTCTGAAATTACAACTTGGATTTTACAAGTTAGAGAACTCTTTTTTGTCGTACAAGTTATAGAACTTAGGAATCTCAAATTATTAAAACGAATGCCAATGGGGATTTGCAAATAAGCGGTTTCAGGTTTGAATCATGACACATTGGTAGTGTGTCCGAGAAATTCCCATTTTCCTTGTAGTTTAGACTATTGCTTGTATTTTTTTGAGAAAAAAAACTCTATTAAAATGGATTGAAACATTACATGGATGATGAATTATCCGAAGGATTAAATTTCTCTTTGGGCCCAAGTTTATTACCAATATAGGCTTATAGCCTGAGGTCTTTTTTCCCCAAGGACATTTAAGTTCATTTAGGCCCAAAGCTTTTGTAGCTTCCTTTTGGGTTGTTCTTTAGTTTCTTCATGCTCCCAAGTCTCCAAACCAAGATTGTTGTCCTTCCATAAAATTTTGTGCTCTTAGTTTTGCTGTTTTAAATGCAGCCAGTCAAAGGCCTCGCAAGCTTCGAGTAGCTTGAACCTAATTAAGAACACACACATACCCCAAGCAGATCTATATCTAAGATCTCATTGGGTCACCTCTCATCCATAAGACCAGAAACTAAGATAAGGTGATAAGCACACGTGGCACAAACCCAATTACTGCTCTACTCCTACAAACACAAAACTCTCTCTCCTCCCAATCCTCTCTCCCTCCACTCCCCCAACTTACAAACCATGGCCTCACCCACACTCCTAACTCCCACCTCTAAACTCAAATCCCTCCCTCCAATCAAGGCCACCAAATCCACCACCACCGCCTCTACCACAACCACAATCCCACAACCCCGCCGCCGTGAATTCTTATCTTTCGCGGCGGCGGCGGCAGCAAGTCTGTCGTCACCAGCATGGCTCTTCCCACTGACACCATCAGCACTTGCGGCTTCTGATGAAGAGTACGTTAAGGAAACAGAGGAGGTGATCAACAAGGTGAGAAACACCATTAACATGGACAGGAACGATCCCAATGTGGCTTCTGCTGTGGCTGAGCTCAGAGAGACATCAAATTCTTGGGTGGCTAAGTACAGGCGGGAGAAGACTCTGCTTAGCAGGGCCTCTTTCAGAGACATGTATTCGGCAATCAATGCAGTGTCAGGGCATTATGTTAGTTTTGGACCAACAGCTCCACTTCCGGCAAAGAGAAAGGCAAGGATTTTGGAAGAGGTGGAAACTGCAGAGAAGGCCTTATTAAGAGGCAGGTAACTTCAAAAACAAAAGGCAAAAAAGGATTATTGATCAGTACTCATGGAGAGAGGAGCATTTTTTTTGGGTATTATTAATATAATTAGTATTTTGAACTGTTGCATTTAAACATTTTGTTTGTTAATTATGAGGTTACAGAGTGAGATTAATGGCGGGGTTTTTATCATCATGAAAACCCAGTTTGATACATTTACCACATTCATATCCTCATCATGAAAACCCCTGTTACACATTGCTCAGTTTATGTAACTTTCGTAGCTGAAAAATGCTCATTGCTATCTCACTGCGCTGAAAAGTTAGGTGCATTGTATGTCATGGCTTGGAAAGATTCAACAAAAAAAGAGGTTGATAAAATTTATATAAATAAAAGGGGAGAATGTTTTCTCACACGCACACCGTCAAAATACAACGGTTCAGTATGTTGTGAATTTGGTTTGCAAATTGTTCGGTTTTGGGCCTCATATTTGTCCAACATACATGGCCATCTCTCAGTATATCCTAAGGGGCCCGTTATTGGGGCTATTGCTCAAAATGTTCAGCACCTTTAGCAGAAAGGCCCAAAATGCAATTCAATTTCGTACCCTTTTTTTTTCTCCTTTTATTGTTGGACAAACAAAAGGGCGTAACTTGTAAGAACATGTCTCCATTCTGTTGCAAATATTTGGTAAGACTTACAGAGAAGTCAACGAATATTTAGACGCAACCTTTGGGGTGGAAAGCTTCAAGCATAGTGGTTGCGGTAGAGAAATTTCTTAGGGTGTGTATGGTTAGGTGAAGTGCACAAATTAAACAATACATACTTGCATATGGGCGGCTAATCTATATATATGAATAGTAAGAAGATGGTTACTACTTAATTGGGTATAATTATTGGGCCTTAACAAAGACTGAAAGCAATAGTTTTACTCAAAGGGCATATTGCACTTAAAAGAGAACATTGTAGTGATAGTGAAGAAGCAATTTGTTTGCTGGCATGGGCTATCTATCCTCGACCACAAGCAATTTGGTGACGTTCTCTCTCTCTCTCTCTCTCTCTCTCTCTCTCTCAAAGAGACTGTTGACTAGTCAATTAAGGGAAGTAATTAGGTTTGGTGGTCTCTCATTGTTAACAATTTGCTTAGCTTCTAGTCTTCGTATTGTAAATTCAACATGGCCATGCACATTAAGCCGAGTCTCAATTAATTAACAGCACGAAATCGAAACCGTTAAACATATCATAATTGTATTTTGATCACACTAAAGAATTAATCAACATAATCCAATATTTATTCAATAGTTAACTTTACTCACAACACAACACGTGTCATAACTTTCTTAAGAGTCAAACAATTCCTTGTACCCAAGTGATAGAATCGTGTTGATGCTCTTGCTTCCTTTAGCTTCACGGAACTAAGAGAGCAGGCAGATGAAGTTAAAGATAAAGACCTAATATTCTGGACCAGATCCATGGTTTATGTGAATATAGAAATTTAGATTAGATAAACCCTAATTGACTTCTACATAGACTTTTACTTCATCAAACACCAGAGGCCGCCTGCGTATAGTCAGCTTCACGCATTGCATTATAGCCTAACGGTTTCGTTAGTCCATGCACATAATTACAAAATATACAAACCCATTTGATACATTCCAAAAACTATGGGCACATGTTTAAACTATGGGCACATACTCATTTCACAAATTTGACAATTAAGAAATGCTTAAAGGGGGTGGGACTAGACTATTTTGGACTTATCCAACTTTGACAATTACTTGGACTGCATGGCTAGTTTGAGGAATTTAAGGGAAAATTAGGAAGGGATGCTTAAATGGTTTTATGTATTTGACCCCAGTGGGGGAGGGATAGATTTGGAAAGGACTAAACTTCGGTGGGATTTAAGATAATAGGGACACTCTCGGGTCCATCCACCCAAGCCCACTAGATGCTACAATGACCCAACATACCCACCTTCTTCTCTCTCACGCACGTTGCATTAGGTTATATTTTTTTGGTCTATAAGCGATATTGGAGGAGGGGGTAATCGAACATAAAACCTCGGGTACATGGATAATTGCTCTTAACCACTATTACGTCTTTAAATGTGTTTTGTTGACATTCAATACAATGACAAGATAAATACCTGTAAATGACCCACTAGTGTAGTTGTTTGCAGCAAATGCTCCATCTAGGAAAGTTCCTTAAAAATAAAATAAAAACAAGACAAATGCCTCAAAACACTCGTTGGCAACCCAAAAAATAGCACATAACAAAAGAATCATTCAATTGGTTATTTCCCATTTTAATTTCGGGATAAAGATAAGAAATACTTAAAGTGTGGAGTCAATTAAGGCACCATCTCCAATTTCCTTTTATTTTTCCGTCTTCCCCACGAATATTTTTAAGCTTCCCAATTTCCCTTGAATCGCGGCAACAAGATATTCTTTTGTGGAAATTTTCTTTGAGAACAGTCTCATGGACCCGGAGTTTGGAACTTAGGCGAAGTTGACGGGTGTTGAGAAAAGTATTCATGCTTAAACTACACCGGCATAAAACCGTGAGTTGAAAGCATATTCTTCAAGAGTGAGAGTACAGGTTTTGGAGTTCAAAATGGACAACGACAAAAAAACAAAAGAGAAAAGCCCCCCATTTTTATTTGTTTTTACTTCCTCTTCTATCTTCTTCTAGTGTCTCTTTCTTCCCATGGTCTAAACTTTTGATGCAAATCCAACGGTTAATATAGGAGGCAAATCCAACGAGCATATGTAAATAAATTACACATGTCTCTTATTAGCATTCTCAAAAAAGCTACCCCCCTTGGAGTATCCTTCAGATAATTCAAGACATTTGGCTAACTTCACGGCCGATGCGGTTGCGAAGCTGGGGCACGAGCTGTTCTCTCAAATTTTATGGGAGTTTGGTTTGCTGTTATTGGTCTGTTCCCCCTTTTATTTTGACCACTTTGGGCACTCTTACCCGATGTGCTTTGTCTTGTAATTTCTTTCTCGTATAAAAAAAACACATATAATAAATGTTTTTTTGAAGTACTATATATTAGATAAAAGCCAATCGGGTTTAATCTAGTGAAAAAGGGCATTGACTGACACAAATGTCTATAATTTAGACTATCGCTTGTATTAAAAAAACAGAAGCATATGGTAATTTTATCAGTGTCTGGGATTAAACAATAATTATCCTACACTTGACCTTTTTTTCTTTTCTTTTTAAAAAAAAAAACTTCCCTCACCACCTGACTAGTCCCAAGAGCTCAGTAAACGCAAGAGTTTGGTTTTATAGTTTACGTTCACGTTTTATAGCTGGAATTGAACAGTTTCAAAAACGTAAGAAGCAGAAGTGCAAAACAAATTAAATTTGTTTTCTGTAATTTCTTCACAAATCAGTTGTTATAAATTTATTATTTGAATTTAAGAGAAAGGAAACGATTTCATAATCTACTCGTGAAATCGAGTTAACTTACTAGGAGTTTTTTTTCTTCTTCTTTATTTCATTTAACACCTAGTTCTATCGCTGTTAAAGATATTTATAATGTAATTTAATTTATCACATAACTAAGCAGACATTACCTCTAATCACCCAGTATAGTTGAAAGGACACCACATTTGTGACCTTTTATGGGATTCAATGCTTTCAATTTCAAAGCCAAGTACTCCAAAATTGCCCTATGCCTTCAATCATGGATAAAAGTAGGACAATATTTTTCGATTATTTATTTGTACAATATGGTTGTTTGACTATTTACCTTCCTATAGTACTAGGTCACTTACCTTAGGGTCCGTTCAATAACCATTTCAATTTTAGTTTTTATTTTTTATTTGTTTGTCTTAGAATATAAAGGAAAATGAGAGTGCGGAAGAGACTGAGAAAGAGGATGAGAGGGGAGGATGGAATGAGGGAGTAACAAAAGTGAAAACAATTTTAATTAGTTTTTAGTTTTTGTTTACACTTTTGTTACTCCTCCCTCCCATCCTCTCTTCTCATCTCTTCCTTCTCAATCTCATCTCCACTCTCATTCTCCCTCTTTTTCCTTACTCCAACACAAAAAATGAAAACAAAAAATTAAAATTGAAATGGTTATCAAACGGGCCCTTAATTAATCAAACGAATTTCATAGAAAATTTCATAACATTTTTATTTTATTTATTGGATTGTGATAGGAGTTGAAAATTAGTACATGCACACAATTGGAGTACACTTATATATTTTGTGACCTTTTATAGGATTTAATGCTTTAAATTTCAAAGCTAAGCACCCCAAAATTGCCCTATGCCTTCAATCAAGGGTAAAAGTAGGACAATATTTTTTGATTATTTATTTGTAAAATTTGGTTGTTTGACTATTTGCCTTCTTATAGTACTAGGTCACTTACCTTAGGGTCCATTTGATAACCATTTTAATTTTAGTTTTTAGTTTTCATTTTTCATTCGTTTGCGTTAGAGTATAAAGGAAAATGAGAGTGCGGAAGAGACTGAGACAGGAGGATGGAATGAGGGAGTAACAAAAGTGAAAACAATTTTAATTAGTTTTTAGTTTTTGTTTACACTTTTGTTACTCATCCCTCTCATCCTCTCCTCTCATCTATTCCTTCTCAATCCCATCTCCACTCTCATTCTCCCTCTTTTTCCTTTATACTCCAGCACAAAAAATAAAAACAACAAATTAAAATTGAAATAGTTATCAAACAGGCCCTTAATTAATCAAACATGAGTTTCATAGAAAATTTCATATCATTTTTATTTTATTTATTGGATTGTGATAGGAGTTGAAAATTAGTACATGCACACAATTGGAGTACACTTATATATTTTGTGACCTTTTATGGGATTTAATGCTTTAAATTTCTAAGCTAAGCACCCCAAAATTGCCCTATGCCTTCAATCATGGGTAAAAGTAGGACAATATTTTTCGATTATTTATTTGCACAATTTGGTTTTTTGACTATTTACCTTCTTATAGTACTAGGTCACTTACCTTAGGGTCCGTTTGATAACAATTTTAATTTTAG